TCTCACCGCATCGCGTCCGGTCGCCGCCGACGGAGTCTTTGTTCCAGCTGGCTGAGGCCGCGTTTAGTGCCTCAGTTGCGTCCGACTCTCCCGAGTTGTCGGCGCCAAAGTCGTCAACAACGTTGCGGAAGAACTGGTAGCCGTCTCCGCCAGCAAATGGTTGCTGTTATTCATAGTCAGCTGGAGAGACACACGTTAAGACGAATCGCACTAAGCTTACTGTCCCCAATGGTCCTAAACTAGACAGCCAGAAGTCGGAGGACTGCCGCTTTTTGGGAGGCGCCTTGAATCTTGTTCGCTTGATGGTGCTGTTAGACCCCGCGCCGTCGTAGCCGCCGCGGAGCACGACGCCGCTCTGGAGGTTGGCCAGGTATGTATTCAGGCTGCCCGAGTAGGCCCATACTGGGCCACTCTGTCTGCCCTTGTCTGGCGCTGTCTTGTAGTAGTTGTGCTGGTTGTCAACCATATACGCTGGCGCCGGCTATGAAGCAACTTGTTAGCGTTACCCATCTCAAGCACGAAGAAGGGCCACGACATACCCGTGGACCATGATCAAGATTGGTCCCATTAGAAGGCAAAGTAGTGTTTCGTCCGCGAGTCGCGACGGCTGATAACACGAAGCTCCATTGGGCGGCTAGCAAAGTCAAGAAAAGAGCAAGTAATGCCGCCATGGTGCTCTACCACCTCAGCCCGAACAGCAGTGTGTCAATGAGGCGTATGAAGAGGTGCGTGGTGACTGAGAGAAAGACAGAAAGGATGTGACTCTTGGGGGAAGGCAACTCGAATTTCACCAGAAGACATGCGAACATGAATAACACCACGTCAAAAGGCAAGTCCCATGATGGAACGCGGAGACCCGGTTGTGCGAGACACAAGTCCCTCACGCAGCTGCCTATTCAGTACGGCATGCCTCGCGGAATTCGGACAGACACTATCGCGTCTCAGCTGATGAGATGAAGGTCAACCTCCAGGCTGCAGCCTCGCTTCGGAGTAACCATCCTATGTCTAGTACCTTTTAGGCTCTGGAGAAAGCCGAATCGTAATGCCTGAGTTAGACTAGCGACTCCTGCATGAATCACTTCATCACAGTCGTATTTGGGGGCTATTCAGGGACACACCCGTGCTGTTGAGTGGTTGAATGATATGTTCTTCCAGGGTCTCGGCCATTGTGGATATTGAGTTGACACCACAGCCGCTGTCAGCCTGGGCAGGTCTATTGCAAGGACTTTGGTAAAACCGGGGACTGGCAGTCTCCACAAGGCCGTTGACGTAGGGCTAAGCAGCCATATTACATCGATACAACCTTATTAGACCGAGACGGGTTGCAGGAATCCTGGAGCAGGGGATGATGCAGTCATCTTTCGAAGTAACAGTATGTGCATGTGGTCAGTGAACTCTACCATGTAGTTTCCCGCATGCTGCATTGGTACGGCGCAGGGGCGGGCAACTGACCGGCTGATGCGGATGGCCAATATTTTTGTTCCTGACTGCAAGTTATGCTTCATTGGACAAAAGTACCTACGAACTCGGCCTCGGATGAACACATGCATCAACGCGGACCTATCGTCTGCCTGAACTCGAAGACATGAAGCTGAAGATTGTGAGACCACACTGTATATCGATATCCCCCGCCTCCAAGTATGATGATACGTTGCATACCGAAGACCCAAGTGATTATAAGTTGGCTTACGCACTTCGCTTCGGAGCAGCTGCCATCATCGACGTGACACCATCCCCAAGTTCCTAGTCATCCTACCTAATCAGAATACCTCAACTCTCTCAAAGCCAAACTTGACATCCTCCACCTTCAAGATGCTCTCCAATCTCATCAACCTCGTCCCAATGGCCCTCTTCGGCGGGGCCATGGCAGCCCCCAGTCCCATCGACCCAACCATGCGCGTCTGCTACGCTACGGAGACGCCCAGCCAGCTGTGTTATACCGCGCCTGACAACATCCCGCAAGACGTCCTCGTCGAGGACGTCCAGTTTATTGCGTCCTACCTGCGCTCGTACGGTGCCCAGATCAGGACCGGCCGCCTCTTCAACATGGCGGCTGCCGACGCGCCCGATTGCGGCGAGTGGCTCGTCTACGCCCACGGCACCGCGCAGGCCTTCGCCAAGCACATCAACAACACCGTCAACTCGAGCGTGCTCTTTGCTGACATCGCCACCACCATCGACGGCGGCGTCGGTGCCAGCGAGGCCCAGATTGCTGCCTCCCTGCTTGGGTGCGGCACCGACGGCGGGTCGCTCGGGGTGCTCGTTAACACTGCCAACCCGACTTACTCGGGCTCGACCTACCCTGCCGGCTATGTGACCAATGGCATCATCATCAAGATTGTGGCTTCGGGAGCGTAAGGCTGGAGCTTGTACATAGAGACCGGGGTCCCTCGGGGAACCCTGGATCCTGCAGATAGATAACGAATTAGTAGTCTTGGTGCTGCGCCCTTCCCGTGCCTCCCGTCTTTTTTGTGAACTGTTCCAATTGTCAACAAGCAAATCTTCGCAGTACACCCTTGAAATTACATCCTTGTGGGGGCCGTCCAATGAAGCGACCGGAAACCGGTCACGTTCTTCCATTTTACCTGCATCTCAAGCATCAATGCTACCTCAACCATCGTGGTGCGGCAGCGAAGCTTAGCGATCTGTCCCCGGAAACTAAGCCGGGACAAGGAGGAATAAACATTCCCCCTGCATTGGCACCCTGGGATGATGAGCTTGTCAGCAACCTAAGCCAAACATGGCTCCAGCCGGTGACCACCCCGAGGGATTTCTCTTTTTCCACGGCTTACATCTTACGACATGCAAGGCACACAGACACCCCGGTACAAAAGAGTAAGCCGATCAAGATACTTGTTACCGCAACAGGAAGGTATCTGCTGTGCCTTTTGCTTGGCTTCTAGTTGCAGGGCTTCATCACGAGAACTATTCAATGTTACCTCACTTACACGATATTTCGTTGCCTATTGATTCGCCCGTCACTCGCATAGGTCAGCAGAGACACGCACTCAGCCTCTAGAACAATCGAAAGAAAAAGTCACATTTCTGCGCCCCCGACTCGCATGGCAGATTTGTGCATCCGCAAAATTAAATCACAACGTCCTACGGATACCAAAGTCCCTCCTTCAGATGACTTCTCGCGTTACATTCGGGCTTATGGAGGGTGAATTCCTGACTCTAGCGTTATCAGAAGTCCGTGAATGAGGCCGGTCATGCTTGTGTCTGCCTGGGCGAATTCTAGTGCCATTGATCCTACCGATGCGTTTGCCCTCCCGCCGTTTATCTTCTTCGTCACGTCGTTGTTTCTCGCATCAGACCTAGGAACGCCAGAGAAAACCAAGCTCGGATTACCTCTGAGCGTACACGAGATGGCGACAAACTCCTTTCTTCTGGGCCTTTTGGCGGGCATCCTCCTTCTCTTGTCATCTATTGACGTTGCGCGTGCAGACCTGGAGATCACCGATGTGTTTACAGTTCAAAGAGGGGGGGATAGCACTGGCGGCTGCGACGCCCGTCTGGATCCGTTGTTGGACAACTGGCTCACTGAATCACTTTTCAGTCTCACTGCCGCTATAGATGCGGTGGACGCCTATGATCGACGGTTTGAAGTCCGCTACGCCATGCTGGCATTCTTTTCGTTCGAAATTCAGGACACACTTGGCACCAAACAGGAAAACCCAACCAGGTATCGTACCTGGGAGAAAATTAGAAGTAAGAATTCTACACCAGTTTTAGCTCTTCTTCCGACTTTTACCACGGAAGTACCCGGCCGATCATGTCGTGTCTAACTGACGTCGTGATCAGAGAACATGGTCGAGGTCAAGAACTTTTTAGAACACGACAAAGTGGTTCCGGGCGGCGATGTTTTCAAGTTCCCCAAAGAAAAGTTCTGGCTCCATTGCCATAGTACCTTCCTGACGGAGCAGTCAAGTACAAGTCCAGCACTGGATTATGAGGGCAATGAGATGAAGAAGGACGACAAACCCATCACCATCCAAGAGTTGGCCGCTTACCAAAAAGCAATCAGTAAGGAGCCAAACGCCAAACCGTGGTGGTCCGGCGTGAACACGGACCAGAACGGCTACTACTTCTCGGAGGATGGCCGCAATTATTGCCAGGGCGATAACCTCGGCGCCACCGCGTCAATCAAGCCACTTAAAGCCGAGGGCGGCCAAGCTGTGACCAAACCTGAGATAGCCTCCGTCATCCTCTGTCCGTACGCCTTCGACAACACCAAGAACCCAGACAACTACCGCGATGCAAACGCCAAGCTGAAAAAGGACGTACGTCTGGATGCTGTCTTGCCCAAGAGTACAACCCTCGTCCACGAGGCCTTCCACGCTGTCCATGGGGACAAGTTCCTGGCGGGCAAGGAGGAGAAATGTGCGTAGACTCCCAATCCATGTCTCCGTCTACGCGTTGAATGAATATTTGATCACTATGCTAACCTGACGTTCCAGATGGCATTACGGAATGCTTGACGATGAGTGCTGAAAAACAACAGACAAACCCCGAGAGTTACGTCTTTTTCATCGCCTACATGAATCACAGGTACGGCAAGGTTGATGAAGGAGAAGAAAACGAACCTTGGGCTATTAACAAGCTTTGGGAAATGGGGGTTGGGTCCAAAAATGACAGATTCGGGGCGGCCAGAGAAGTGACTTTTATCAATGATGATGATTGAGGGGCATGGATAGACGAAACCGACTTCGAGTTCTGTGGAGGCTGGATTGCCTCGTTATCAAGAAGTAGTTTTGGTGCATTCAAAGCGCTATTCTTTCGGACTCAGCTGAATCGACTCATTCAAAGTTTGCAAACATTTGGCAAGCCCATTTGTGCCTCGGCCACTGATCCGGTCCGGACAGAGCATCTCAATGTGCTCGCAAATCAGAGGCTGTACATCAGGACCCATATCCATACCGTTGCGCGTATGCTGTAGTACTACTACCGCGGCGATGAATAACGAATGTGCTCGAGTCCACGTCAAATTGAAGACGAAATCAGCTTGGGATGACGCGGGAGTCGATGATCGGAGCAGACTACCCGCAGCACGCAGCAGTTCTATACAAGACAAGATTTCCTCGTCATTCGACACAAAGCTCTGGTGGTGACCATCGGCCGCAGCTTTTGCGAGTAGTAAAGCCTCGCATTGCTGAAATGTTCCGCAAGCCTTGAAATATTGTTGGAGGCCGGCATAGTCATGAGGTGCGAAGGACCCCATGAAAAGGGCGTCGACTTGTGTGTTCCATTTGTCGATCCAAATGCGGATTTCATGAATATAAGAAGACATCCAGGAGCAGTCAGTCGCTCTTGAAACGCTGAGACTGTGCCCAGATGAAGTCCCGTGCTTGCCAATCATGTCTCGGTGAAAGCGACTCTTGAGCCGTGCAAGGTGGTACACCATTGATGGTAGGTCCATGTCCCCTGCTGCGGTCGATAGCCAGTCCGGCGAGCAAACCGACAGTGTTTTGACGTCTGGAAGCTGAGAAGGCCTGCCAAATGCTATCGCGGTCTGTGTCTCCAGGGAATACAGGGTGCGATAGAGCATGTCGGTATCGCCAGGTTCCGTCTGACCCGACCCGTGAACTTCGATGATGTCTAGGTACATCCGCGAGGCATGTCCCAGTACCCTCCAAAGATCAATGGCACTTGGACACAACCATGCGTAAATGCACAGAAGCAGCGTCGTTTGAAGTGACTGGTTAGTAGAATGAATGAACAGGTCGATGGAAGTACCACAAGACATGGCTTTGCCGAAGTACGCATCTGCAAACATCTGCAGCCTTGGATCCACAGGGCTCAGAAGCGCCAAGGAAATAGCGAGCATGAAGTGTAGATGAATTTGCGCCAGGTTCTCATACTCCGTCGTCGCGGAGCTGCTATTGTAGACTTGATCGAGGATTTGAGAGATGAGTTCTTGGCCCAGAATTGGATAGGTAATTTCGATGGACCGGTAGTAAAGTGAGGTTAGATTCTGCGCCTCAGAGAATGGCATTGTGCCTGTGATGTCAACAGTGAGTGAGCCGCAAACGGATTCAAATAATCTTGCTACTTGAGGCACAGATGTTGTTGCATCACTAGCCGTAGGCAAGGAAACAGACCCTTGGATGACGTTTGCTAGGCGAACAAATGAGCTTGTGGCGCCAAAGAAGACCGTATCGCTTGAGTTGTTTGCGCCTGAAGGGTTCTGAAATAGAATACTCGACAGAGAAGAGCTCTGTGAACAGCTAGTTTGTGCGTTGTTCTGCACCATTGGATCATCTGGGGCAATGTTGCCAGATTCAGGAGAGCGTGATAGCTCCTCAGTCTCGTTGATGAGTCGTTCCGCGTGTTGAATCAGGGCGTGAAGATGTCTGTGTTTATGTTAGCCATTTATGTTATTATTCTTTCGTGGGAAGCATGTCCGTACTTCCGCGAAGTCTCTTCACCCAGTGCATTATCCCAGTAACAACAGTCCTTGCGAAGCTTTGTGCAATTTCGACATGCCGGGATGTCCGTGTCGCACTTAATCCTTCTCCGCTTGCAGTGAGAACATACCGGTAATTTCTCCATTGCATTCCTAAGTTGAGCTTTGTCAACCATGCTTGCCGGTATTTGGTCTGACAATATAGAAGTAGGCCTTAGAGAGGGCGCCGGCTGTTGACTGACTCCTAGCTGGGTGTCTTCTAGGTCAATAGCTGTAGCATCAAAGCACTCGATATTTGAATCGTTAAACAAATTGAAAAATTCAAGAATGTCGGCGCCGTTATCAAATGAGAGGGAGTCGGCTCCAAAATCGGGGAATATCGCGTCCAATGTCGGGTGAGATGACGTATCTACCGGCTGCTCGCGGGCATAAAGAACGTCTGCATTCTCTCTAAACACTAGTTCCTTCAGCTGTCTGGCTTCGACTCCCAGACTTGAGTCCGAAGAGTTGTCGTCTCTGAAGAAGCTTAACGGTCCCTTTCTTAATCGGTCGAACAGGATACCACATTGTTGGGCTGCCGGCCATTGCTTGGCAAGGAGTATCTGCTTGGCTCAGTATTGGGGCTCTGCCAGAGGACATGGGGGGTTTTACGTACGAATATGCTGGATATCTGGTGCACAACCTCAAAGATTTGCGCGATTGTGTGGTTTCGGCGGATAAGAGAACGATAGTGCCACAAAGCATATAAAATCAGATTTCCAGCTTCGTAGCAACGATGAGTCGCGTGCCATGGATCGTCCAGATCATTGGAGACAATGAGCTCCCAGTATCCCCTCACAGTGCACACAGCAGCTCTGAAATATTTGAGAACAGACGCCTCAGCTGGGTTGGGGTTGCGCGCACAGGGCATATGGAGGATAAGCATCGTGTGCCACTCCATAGACTGGCTTATACTGGTAGAAGCCACTCCAGCTTTGATCTCCCGGACTCGTCTCTCAACGTCAACTAGCCAATCCTCGTATGAGATGTTGCTATCAGAGATTGGACGCATTCCGATATTGACAGAACAAATTTCCGATTGGAGTCTTAGAAACTTGAGGGTATCATTGAACCCCAATTTAGAATGAGGAGCTAGAGGCTGGTCGTGTGTCTCGTCTGAAGTGTGCAATATTAGCGACCTGTTGCATTCTGGATCATGCTCGAAAGAGGGAAAGGGGAGATGAATCTGGTCCCCTGCCACGGCTAAAGGCCGATGGGATGTGATTGCAATTGATCTCTCAATGCTGTAAAGCTAAGAGATAGTTATTCGTATTCAATCTGGCCGAGAAAGAAGACTCACTGTCCAGTACAGCCTCTTCCGATAATCAAGGATCGCTTCAGTCATGCCGCATTCTGACGCGGTGTCTTGGTGCAAACCAAGCCCCAGAGCAACTCGCGCCGCATCTCCGACCACCTGCCAGAGGTTTGTAGAAGCAGGAAAGAGAAAGCCGTACTGAGCAATCAGCAAGAGTTGCTGGATCGTCGTGGTCGTAGCTCCAGTCAAGCTCTGTTCCCAATCCAATCGTGCGAAAGCATCACGCCTCAGCGACTCCGCTACTGAGACCAGCTTTCGGTAGTCTCTAGCCTTTGAGGAGAGTGTTGCAATAGCCATGACCATGCATATTGTGAACTGTTCCTCTGACTTGACCTCCGCCTGATCGTTATTGGATTCTTTGAAGCGCTGGAACATTTCGAGCATTTCCTGCCTTGAGAACAACGGGTAGTGAGGTAGAATACGGTCGACATATACAATCACAAGCTGATTCGCAACTTCTTCTGGCAACCGAGTAAACGAATTTCCGTCATGGGTTGGAATGTTGACTGCACGTTGTTCTTGAAATGCCAGTGGAAAAGGAAGCTCTGCGCCGAGGAAGAATGCCCGAGAATACGGCAGCTTATGCTGATGATCCTTTTTCATCGATTCCAAGGGCTCGCTTTCTCGCGCGGCATTGGCGGCCAACTCATACGCAGCAGTGATATTGGCAGTCGAGGTATTGTGGTTATCCAGAACGGAGCTTGTGCCAGTCTGTTGCGGTCGCATGAGTGCGGCATTTGAAATCGAACCTGCTTGCCCTGTGACCAGTGCCTCTCTTTCGAGTTCTAATTGGGCAACGACATCTTCAAGATACGAGACGAGACTTTTTCGGATGGAAGCTATCAGTGAGCGGAGTCTGACAAACGGGTGTGTGCGTGTGGTTTGTTTACCTGCGAGGAACCTCCGTCTCGGAACCTCTATCAAGACCTATGCATTGAGCCTTCGCATTGGTACATTGAGAGCATGAAGGATAAGTTCGATCGCACTTTTGAACGAATTAGTTGCTGCCGAAAAATTTCCCCATCAGATTATGGACATGGACCCGCCTTCTTCTTTCTTTTGTAACATCGCGCGCAGGAGTAAGAGGATCGCGTGCTTCTGACCATGATGTTATAAAGTTGGCTTCTTTCAAGTCCCGCAGTGGGTTGCGAAGATGTAACCAAACAAAAGACAGCACTTCGGATGCAGGCCGAGGACTGGGCCACCTGGGATCAATATATGGTCATGTAGATACGGAAAACAGCCACTGCTCGCCCTCCTCAAATCTGGCACGAGGATGCCAAGGGAGGGGCTACTGATACCCGGGGTAATGTTATCAGTACCGAACGCTCCGACCTCGGATACGGCCTTATCTTGATAGGCGACAATTAGACCGGGAATAAGACAAGCAAAGTGAATTCAACAAGCAAAGCACTATCGAGTTCTGCGGGTAGATTCTGCAATCGTAGAAGTTTCAAAGCATACGAGAAAGCTCCAAGAGATCATCAAAGTTTATTCACATCCGTTTACTTTCCCAAAGCTTTCATATCTCCCGCAACGCCGTCAATTGCCTTCTCTTCAGTGGAAATGATGGATGCCGGTGAAGCCTCGACTACTTCCAACGTCTTGCTCTCTCGTCTTGTCAAGTACCAGACACCAAGTGTCGTCACAAAGAGAGACGCCCCCATGCACATCATGGCAATGCTTCCCTCCATCCAGTCTGGCCCCTGAGTGGCGCTGTAGAAGATAAGCGACCAGAACATGTAGACGGCAATCGCAAAAGTGTTCATCGCTGCGAGAATTACAGCACGTTTAGCGTCGTCCTCGCGAGTGACGGCATTCGCCCAGGCAAACAGCACGGTCTGGCTAGCATACTGACAGCCATTGAGAAACAGGGCAAAGAACTTTGCCCCTCTCGTGGGAGGTTGCAACATGATGGCTCCCGAAACAATGGCTGTGGAAGAAAGGATGATCCCAACGTGCCAGTAGCGCTTAGTGAAGTCTGAGTACCAGCCAAGCAACAGCGTAGCAGCAATGCCAACTCCAGCGACGCCGGTGGGGATATAATTGACCTGCTCCACGCTGTAGTTGCCGGTTGAGGAGAGCCAAAGATTCATGATGGCGTTTGTGGAGAACATTTCCGTGTTGCTGGCGAAGATCCATAGGAAGACAAAGCCCAGCCAGTGCCACGTCTTCAGGATGCGAGATACCAAACTCCAACCCAGAGTACCCCTACTTTTCTTGACTTCGGGGAGGCGATCGACGGCGAGTCTCTTCTCCTCATCAGTAAGCCACCAGGCGCGGGTAGACGTCGGGGTGTCCGGAAACGCGATGAAGCCATAGAGCGCAACAGGTAACGTTATGCAGAAGTCGATGATGAATAGCCACCGCCATCCGGGCAGGCCGCGAACACCATCTGTAGCGTACACGTTAGTACTCTGCTAGAAATACATGATGAAAGTCTTACCAAGACTCTTGTGGATACCTCCTTGCAAAAATCCAGAGAACATGGTTCCAGCCAGACCGCTGCTAGTGAAGATGGCTGTTCTCTTGCCGAGTTCGTCTTCCCGATACCAACTGCCAAGAATGTAATGACACCCAACAAAGGTTGATGATTCGAATACCGCCTGGAAGAATCGTAAGATCATAATCTGCCATGGGTGGTGAACAAGACCCGTTCCAAGTGTCAAAAGACCCCAAGCGATCATGCAGGCGGGAAAGTACAGGCGAGGTGGCAGCTTTTGCAACGCAAGGTTGTTGGGGATCTGTCCTAGCACATAGCCTCCGTAAAAGACTACGATCATTAGACACAATTATTGTCAACGAAACGGGAGAACTCAGTATACTGCTTACTTGTGTTGATAACGTTTAGTTGGTTGCCGTGGAAGTCGAGGTCCTCTCGCATCCCGCTCACATAGGCATTATTCAGGTTCATGCGATCGAGATAGTTGACCCAATACTAGTAGCTCCTATCAGCCATTTTTGGATCGTTGAAGATAGTACGCGAGGCACGTCTTACCATGAGACAACAAAAGGACAAGATGACGATGTCAAGCTTGACGATAAGTCGCCGTTCAGCGCTGGTCGCTGCAGGCCTACCCCACACAATTTCCCGAAGTTTCGGGAAGACAAACATGGCAAAGGCTCGGTGGACAAAAGTTGGTGGCTGTTACTCGAAATCGTTTCGGTGAACGGTTCTCTGAATGGGTTTTCTGGAATGACTTCAATAATTAGAAGTTGATGGCCTGCTTGGTCATTTGTCTCCTTGACTGTCTCGGGCTTGCGGTGAAGTTCGGGTTCTCCACTTCTGTGTCGGATTAGAGCGCGCGCTATCTTCCCGCATCTGCTCACATCACATTCTCATGCCACCACCCAGGATGCGATTAGCCGGGGGCAGTCGGAGACGGGCCGCTATCAAGTCGGCGTGCACACCAGAGTATTAGTAGTACAGAATTGAAGATTTCGGGTAAACCCGCCATATTCGCCACCTCGAAGAGCGTATTAGACGTCCAAGGAGACCCCGCAGTCTGAAGACAGACCGGCAGCGACAGAATCATCCGTTGAGCCGGTAGCGCACATCACCAGCAGACTAGAATACATACCAAATTGGCACAGTCAAAATGCTCGATATCACCGTTACTGGAAATCATTACGAGGTGAGTGTTTCCCCTGACTACTTCGGGCTTTTTCAAGTGATTAATCTTAATGCACACGCAGATTGGCTTGGCAGTTGGTCAACAGGCTGCAGCACAAGTTGCTGGGTCCATTGACTTCTTTCTACCGTGTGTTGTTCAAAGCTTTCAATGATCTGGAATGGTTCACTGTCAGGGAGCGAACGCTGGAGTTCGTGCCTCATCTCAGAGCCAAGTTTCCCCGCTACTACGAAGAAATGGAGGGAATTGCAAAGGGTGCCGGAGTAGACATTCTCGATGTCGTTGCTCTGAACATACGAAGTGAGATCGCTTTTGGGCTTTTTGAGGAGAACTCGAGACGGCCCATGGCGATCGCCGCGGTTGATGCAGCAGTGGACGGATGCACCACTTTAGGCTGGAAGACCCCGGGCGGACCGACTTTCCTCTCACAGAACTGGGACTGGAAGAACAAGCAGAAGCCCAATCTCATTATTCTGCGTGCCAAGCCACAAGGGGTACCGGACATGGATCTGCCTGCTTTCCAAATGATCACCGAGGCCGGAATAATTGGGAAGATTGGCTTCAACGAGCATGGTGTTGGATGCCTGCTCAACGGCATCCGTGCCAAAGGCGTCGATCCGGAACGTATGCCGATCCATTTTGCCCTTCGTACGATTCTCGAGTCCAAGTCCAAGAGAGAGGCGTTGAATAAGATCGAAAGCGTGGGATTGGCCGGAAGTAGCCATATTCTTCTGGGCGACAACACTGGACCAACTGGTCTTGAGTGCACGAGCATTGGATTCAAGGAGTTGCCGGCTGATGTACAAGGTCGTGTTGTGCATGCGAACAACCTGATTCTAGAGCACGAAGGTGTGTTTGAGCCACTCTGGCTCGAAGATTCACCGAAACGTACCGCCCGCATGCAAGAGCTTGCGACCCCTGAGGTTGGTAAGAAGGCTGGCTTTGACACTTTGCTAGAGTTGTTCAAAGATGAACAGAACTTTCCGGCATCCATAAATCGGAAACAGTCTGGAAATAACGACTCCAACACACTGTTCAATGTGGTGTACAATCTGACGGAGAGAAAAGGAGTCATTTCAATGGGCCGGACGACGGAGATTGAGGAGCAGATTGAAATTGGGTTCTGATTTTGCAGCAGGTAGAGCAGTCGGGCGATAATCTAGTTGACCAACCTTCCAGCCGGGCAGCTACAAACAATTACAGTCATGTCAAATTATTTTCTCTGTATGATGATCACTTGTTACTTTCATATAGCAATCCAACAGGGTTCTGGAATGGCGAGAATGGATCTTCGCGTACCAACTGAAGTCGCAATGCTTCATAGCGGAGTAGTACGCCCGAGAGGCTCAGAGGCTTCGATCCTGCAGTAAGACATGGCAGATATGAAGTAGTTATGGTGTAGGGAGCACTCAGCCTGTGCTGGCTTGAATGATTCAACCCGAACTGGGTGGGCTACTGAAGTCCACGGCATTGAACGACCGCTGACAACGTTTCATCGTGGCAAAGGCTTACATCGACTTGCTGAAGGAATTTGAGATCTCCAATTGAGCAAGATATTTCTAGTCACTAGAACTAACACCGGCTTGGATAGTTACCCCTGGCAACGTTCCTGCCTTAAACTCATCGCAAACTTGGGCCATGGTAACGAACTCAACGCCTTCCTTCGTCTTCAAATACTCGATAAATCGCTCGTGCATCAACATGACGTTCGACTTTCCGCTGACCTGCGGGTGACAGCTGACACAGAACACAAAAGTGTCATACTCTCTGTAGAAGAAGTCAAATTGATCCTTCCACTGAACCTCGATGTCGCGTGGGTTGACAAATCCATGTGTCCCAGGACGTCTGGTGTAGTTCATTGGGGCTATTGCACGGATGTTAGCAGGAGTTCGGAAGCCCAGATTAGAAGAAGATCAGACGTACGCCAGTCATCCACGTTCCATGATCCAGGAATCTCAACCACTTTGGTGGGCTTGTGCTCTTTCATATGCACCATCCAAGTATCCGGATCTTTAGAGTAATCGGTGTGCACAAGCGACTCATCGGGAACGTCCGCAACATAGTATGGCTGGCAATCATGATGCAACATGGAATGGTCATATTCGATGCCGAAGTCCTCCAAGATGGACATTGTCTTGGGACTGACCTCCCAAGCAGGGGCCACCCATCCCTTGGGATACTTACCGGTGAACTTCTGGTAGACCTCGATGGACTTGGCCATGACCTTCCTCTCTTGCTCTTCGGTCAGGAACCGTACGAACTCGTGCGTATAGCCATGCAAACCACTGGATCCAGTGTGTCAGTCTATTGTTGTAAACTTAAGGAGAGAATTTACAGAAGGCCGTACATCTCATGTCCTGCATCTCTGACTTTCGCCATCTGATCAGGGAACGACAGGATGGTGTGACTGGGCATGTACCATGAAGCCTTGATGTTGTTGTCGGCAAACAGCTTGAGCATGCGGTCGGTACCGACATTTGCCCCGTAAATACCCCTGGATACATCGGTTGCGCCGATTCTAGTTCCATCTCTGGTATTGATCCTATGAATTCACTCCCAGTCAGCTGAATACTGTGATCTCTGAAGTTGCAAAACGCATACCAGTTCGCGCATGCGTCAACGTCCACAGCGTATGTGACCAAAGCTCTTTTCGGAGGCATGATGTTAAACATGAACAGACGGTGTAGAGGAGTTTGAGAAAACGATGATGCCCGTTACCAAGATAAGAGAGATTGCTAAATACGTACAGGACGAATGCATATTCTGTCGCATGCTGTTTCTCAATTTCTATATAAGTCACCCTGACTGGCAATCCACGGACAAGGGGCCGATAGCTGTCGGAGTTGCGCGCGTGAGTGCGTCAAAATCAGCGGGGTTGCTGGGTGGGGCTTGGGCGGTTTAGTCCGACATCCTCATGTCCGAGGTGTCCCCCAACCCTCCGTCGGATTGTATACCTCCGAACCCTGCATTCAAGATAGGATCTGCAATCGAAGGTAACGGGAATGGCCTTTGACGATCGTCTCATGATGTAGATATCATGCCTTGACAACTAAGTTCATCTCACAGGACTGCAAGAAGTGCCAAGATCACCCCCAACACACCATGGAAGGCGGTTTCTCTTTTGGCGGACGTCAGATCGCTATCACGGTTCGTCTCCTATCCTAAACTCCTAGAAGTTTTGCTAAGATGGTCTTGAAGGGAGGTTGTTCCGGCATTGGGCTGGCGGTTGCCAAGACACTGCTTGCACTTGGAGCGACCGTCTATATCGCCGATATCTCTTCACAAAATTCAGATGAATTGAACAGCGAAGAGAACTGCCATGTAAGACTTGGATGTGATGTGACAAACCGAGAGGATTGCAAGTCATTCTTGGATTCTATACCTGGCCGACTCGATGGGCTGGTAAACTCTGCGGGCGTTTCGGGCTGGGAAGGCAAAATCGGAACCGACGCGATGTATCAGCGAACCATGGACATTAACGTCACCGGAACTTGGAATATGGCAACTGAAGCGATGAAAAGAATGATGACTCAAGAAAACATCGAAGCGCCAGGCACCATTCCGGGGTCAGTTCGCAGCGTAGGTCAAGGCTCTATAGTCAACGTCGGAAGCGGTGCTTCTCTTCGTGGGGTATCTGGGCTGGCGGCGTATACTGCCTCAAAGCATGCTGTTCTCGGCTTAACGCGTGCATGGGCACGAGACTTCCCCAAGATGCGTGTGAATATGGTTGCTCCTGGTAAGCATCTTAGTGCACAACCTCCAGGAAGTTTGCATCAGGGTTATTGACGATCTTCAGGTGCAACTGACACTCCATTAGCCGAAGCTACTGTTGCCGGTGCTCCGCAGGATGATCCAAGCGTCGTCATTGGGAAAGCGCAAATTGCGGCCATACCAAAAGGCCGCATGGCGTTTGCGACTGATATTGCGGACGCAATCATATTTCTGCTGTCAGACTGGTCTAGCTTCATTACTGGTCAATGTTTGCCAGTAAATGGTGGGAATCTATAACTTCCGTAGAAAAAGCCAAATCCATTCAAGTGCCGATATCCATTAACTTGCACCCCGAATTCGAAGTGTTATGATTTGCTTGGTGGAAAATGCAGAAAAATGCAGTCGGAGATAATCGCGCATTACGTATTACGTCGGCCTGCTCTCCAATAGCGTTGTATCGATGCCGCGTGAAGCCGCGAAATGCGAGAACTTGTATTCTTCTTTTAAATCTTCCTCTTTTGAAACTCGGCTTTTGTCGTCTTCTCTTCCTTGGAATCCGAAGATCCGCAAACATCATTCGGCCCTTCTCATGGATCACAAACTTGCGACTGGAAAGGTCGCCATCGTTACTGGTGCAGCTGTGAGTGTGGTTGTAGATACGAAACCTGAAGATTTTTGCGATAACAAGATTGCAGTCCGGCATCGGAAAAGCTCTCGCGACAAACCTCATCACCAAAGGATGGCGCGTCGCATGTTGCGATCTCCAAAAAGAAGCCGGCACCGCCGTCGCTAGCGAGCTCGGCGACAACGCTGTGTTCTACGAGCTGGATGTTTGCGAGTACGACGCGCAGGCGAAAGTCTTCAGCCAAGTATGGGATAGATGGGGCAGGCTGGATGCCTTGCTAGCCAATGCAGGACATTCCGACCGTAGCTCGATTTACATTTTCGATCATAGAGGCAAAGACGAAATACCGCCAAAGCCTGCCCTAAAGTCTATCAAGGCGTGCTACGAGAGCTTTTTGTATGGTGTTCAGCTTGCCATCCACTTCATGCGAAGAAATGTAGTGCCTGGAGGACATATTGTTGCGACTTCAACCATCGCGTCGGTTCATCCGCATCAAACGTTCCCTGAGTACTGCGGAGCCAAAGCCGCGGTAGGTTCAAGGTCTCCTCTGCCAGAAACTACCCTTCTAAGTACATTTTGAAAGATCAACCAATTTGTTCGAACCGCAGCGCCGCTTCTGAAACTGGTTTGGCCCCCTTTACTATCTCGCCATGGGTGCTTGAAGCATCTTAAAAGCTGATATTTCGTAGAAAGAGAACATCGCCATGAATGCCGTGCTTCCGGGTATTGTAATAACAGGTGCCGTTCCGCAAGCATCTATCGACGCGACGAAGCCAGAGCAGTAAGGCATCCTTGAAACTTGAGGAGTAGAGGCTTACCAGGAACACAGCATCACCCCCATCGAGACAGTTGTATCAGCATACAATCTATGCCTGGACGACTCGAAGTTGAATGGCCAACTAATTGAATGTTCTGGTAACAAGACTATCGTCCTGCCTGTACCGAAGCTGGCCAATGGTGCGACGACTAAAAGGGCTTGTACTGTGTGGGAGCCTCTCTTTGAGGCGAAGCACCATGAGAGATCCGGGTTACCAGATGCAATCCCGTAGATGGGCGGGGATTATCATGTGTGATAGATATCACACAGCAATCAGACCTTATTGTGTCACTCTCCATGGATGATTGTAATATTTGGTGCTTCTCTAATTTCTCTACTCTTTGGCTGCGAAGACCTTCTGTGTAGATGCAGAAGGATCTGCTCGTACAAGAGACCGATTGCCTCCCGGGAAAATGACTTGAGCTTCGGAAACCTTAGTTGCTGTTGTTTTAACCACGACTGGCTCTTCAATCACACCATCTTGCCAGTTAAACGAAACGAGCCAGCCGCCCTTCGTCCTGACGCCTGTGAGCTGCCCCTGAGCCCAGTCCTTCGGACACGAGGGCAGAAGTCGAATTTCAACTGTATTGGCATCAATGATGAACGACTGGACCAAGCATTCGAGAATGCCAGCGCACCCACCAAAGTTGCCATCAATCTGGAACGGCGGGTGGCTATCCAGCATATTCGGCAACGTTGACCCTTTGAGCAGAAGGTCCATGTGTTGTCCACAACCTTCCGCATCCAGGAGCCTAGCATGAAGATTCAATAACCATGCTCTGCTCCAGCCTGTGTGCCCCCCTCCATGAGCAGCCCTTCTTTCCAGGACGTGCTTTGCCGCCGCGGCCAAGTCTGGCGACCTGGAGGGGCTGATACTCTCTCCGGGGTAGAGCCCGAACAGATGAGACACGTGGCGATGGCCCGGCTCTTGTTCTTTGTAGTCCTTCAGTCCCCACTCTTGGATCAAATCGTCCGAGTTAATCACCAGGGGCGGGAGCCTTTCAAGGGCGTCTTCCACTTTAGCTCTCAGCGAATTGTCCCCACCTAGAATATTAGTGCTCCAGAGGAACTTCTTGAAAGCGATTTGAATGATGGTCATATCTATAGCAGATCCCTCGCATAAGATGCCTGGCTCTCCCGAATCCGATAGAAATGTGTTCTCAGGAGACAGAGATGGGTTGGTGACCAAATACCTCCCACAGGCCGAAGGTATTAGGTATTCGAGCAAGAACACAATCGCACCCTCTAAGGCCACAGCTGCTCTTCTGTGTAGGTCTTCATCGTACTCGTACTGCAAAAGTTCGAAAATGTCGATACATATCCAGACCCCACCAAGAGGCCATATGGTCGAGGGCATCCACCGGTCGTGAGGGTCTGTGTCGGCCCACATGTCGGTGTTGTGATGAGCACACCATCCTTCGCACCCATACATGATTCTCGCAGTCTTCTTTCCCCTCTCGGCCATTCTTTCTAGAAGCTCGAGAACGGGAATGGCGCATTCGATGAGACTACATGGCCCTGCTGGCCAATAGTTCATCTGTAGGTTGATGTTGATAGTGTATTTCGAACCCCATGGCGGTGCAAAAGATGGATTCCAGATGCCCTGCAAGGTTGCTGGCAAAGCCTTCATGGAGTTCCGGCTGCATGATATTAGTAGATACCTTCCATAGTTGTGGTACAAGGCGACTAATCCCGGGTCTCGACTGTTCTTGAGTCGTTCGTCTGTGGGCAGATAACTCGCATCAGGCGACATCCGCAAATATGCCCGATTGAAGAGGCCAGCATAATCTTGTTGGTGACGTTCAACCAAGTCACTCCATTGACGGCTCAACGCTTTGAGTACATCGTCCACAGCGGCGGCCTCAGGGTCCTCAGTTCGAAAGGTTGTTTGAGCACCCATGACAATAGTGCATGAAGCCGAATTGACTATCAGTGCATTGCCGATGGCCTCCACGGAACCCTCTGCATCGTCGCAAGACACACCCAACGCTATCGCCAAGCGATTGCTATTATGACCACCAGGAGTCGCCTTGAGAACAATACGTCCATTTGTCGCGTCAATGCTGTCAAGGAACTCGTTCGTCTCATACTCAATCTCGCTCAGACGGTTCAGTCGTATGACGAAACGAGTGGCCTCGGACGAGACCACTTTGAACGCCAGTACATTGTCCGGGAAACTCGCAATGGCATCTCGACGGTACGAGGCCCCCCGGCATCGATATTCAACGGTCGTCTGAGATGATTCGAGACACAGGTATCGGCGATAATCAGTCACATCCTCGACGGCGTGGCCGAACTCGATGGTGCAAGTGCCGAGAGGTTCATAATGGCGCATGCTCGCAGGCGTCGCAAAGAACGCCTCGCGCACCAGCGACTCGGCCTCGGCATGCTTTTCATCTCGGATGAGTTGTCGGAGCTTCGGCAGGTGGCGGAGGGCGTCTTTTGGGGTCCTGTCCTGCGGACCGCCGTACCAGACCGAGTCTTCGTTCAGTTGGAGAAGCTCGGTCTGAGTTCGCCCATGGACCATCGCGCCTAGCCGCCCGTTGCCGATTGGTAGGGCCTCAGACCATTCAGATGCGGGGGACTCGTAGTGGAGGAGCAGGGGTTGGGGTTGCTGTTGGCTCTGACGGGAGCCGAATGTCGAAGAGCCATCTGAATGGGACATGATTATTGGGTGGTTAGTTGGGAACGTCGTGCCGTTACGCCGGTCTCTGAATCTGACGAGTTCGCGAGGGGTCTAGGGTCACCTGGGCTCTTGGCTTGTCCAGGAAAAGATCCCCAGTACGCAAGACGAAAGTTTGTCAAGCTGGTGATTTGATGATCAGACAAAGCGTCTGATGCCCGCATTCATGGTCGATGGGTGTTGGAGCGGCCATGAACGATTTTAACCCCAGACAACCCACGAACATGCCAGGGTCCCAGGTCGAAGTCGTATCATTTGAGGAAAATTGGCTCGGAGAGTGTGGGGTAACCGGCCGGCCGTTGCCTCGGAGCCAATCATCACGGGTCAAAGCAGCCCGAACACCCTCATCCCGGGATGGTGTGGTACTGGTCTGATTGAGATGCGTCGCCTACAGCCGCCCGACCAATCATATGTAACCAAAGCCGCTGCCGGCTCGGTCCAGGGTGGATCTTTGGGGAGAATCTGGAGGCGGATGGACCAGAACGGCAATGTAGTGGGATGCAGGGAGCTTCTCATGTGAACCATGTGGATAATGAAAAGTCTGGGGAGAGCATCCCTCGACGTGGTTCGAGACTCACCCATCGGAAGGCCATTCCGTGGACACGCAGAAAGAACATGCAGAGACGAGAATGCCACCCTATTTGCCAGAGCTGAACTGCAGGCTCTGAGAGTCTATATATCCGCCAGGCGCCACTGCAACCTGGTCCCTTGACCCAGACAGGCGGGCTTCTTACTCATCGGTGCTACTCAACATACCAAAGTCGACCGGACCTTGATTGTGAAGGCTACGGCCCCGCGTCAAGATACTTCCTCTCATTGACTTGCCTTACCGAAAATGGCGCCGCGAGACGAAGTGGACCACAGCGTGGTCTACCACGATGATGTTGCCGAAGCCAACAAGATTGGGGTTGCCGTCGAAGATGTCACCGCTACTCGAATCTCAGAGGAGGATGTGATGCGCAAGTCTGCCGAAGCTCTGAGTCTGCGATCCAAGACTGGCCTACGCATCCTGATGTATGTGCTCATCATGGGCGCCAACCAAGCTGGGTATGAACAATACAGTCACTGGAAGAATACTGGGAGATTAAGTTAACCATTCGACTTTAACAGCTACGGTATCGACTGGGGTGTGATCAGCAGTATCAACTCCAACCCCCGATGGCACGACTACTACGGATTCCCCGACGCCGGCCCAATCATCTCTACGATCAATGCCCTCATGCAAATCGGCAGCTTCGTTGGTGCCCCATTTCTTGCCACTGCCGATATCATTGGACGTCGTGGCGTCAACTTCGTGGGCAACGCTCTCGTTCTGATTGCTGCCATCATGCAAGCCATGGCCCCCAACCTCGCCTGCCTCATGGTCGGCCGTCTCGTCCTCGGCTTCGGTACTGCGCTGTGCACAGCTCCCCAATACGTCGCCGAGGTTGCGCCCGTCCACCTCCGTGGTCGCATTGTTGGCGTCTTTGGTGCCTTCTTCCAAGTCGGTTCGCTTGGAATCATCGGCATCATGATGGGTCTGACCTCGTGGGAGGGAACAGACTGGCAGTGGCGTGTCGCCTTCTTCCTGCAGGCCGTCTTTCCTCTGATTGTCTGCATCGGCCTCTACACCGTTTGCCCAGAGTCCCCGCGTTATCTGATCATGAAGGGCAAGAGAGACAAAGCTCGTGAGATGATTGCGAAGTACATGACAACGCACAACGACATCAACCACGAAATCGTGGACATCCTGGTCAACCAGATCGAAGAGTCTATTGAGACTTCGAAAGCCGGTTTCCGGGCGACATGGGACTTCCGAGTGTTCTTCACGCGCAGCGTATGGTACCGTACTCTGGTGCTTGCCGTGTACGCCGTCTTCCAGCAGTGGAATGGCGGTGGCATCATCGGCTTGTACCTCTCGCCTGCGCTGAAGACAGTCGGCATCAACAATCAACTCGACCAACTGGGCATCAACCTCGGGCTGACTGCGATCTACTTCGTTTTCACACTCTTCGGCGCTTGGATTATTGATTTCTTCCGGCGTCGCACGCTTATTTTCGCTGGCTTGATCAGCATCATCATTGCTCAGATCGCCGTCACCATCACGAGCTGGCAGTTCGATGTGACCGGTGGCAAGAAGTCCACTGCTATCCTGACAGTCGTTTGGATCTACTGTTTCCAGATTTGCAGCGCCTCGTTCATCGCTACAATGCACAACCTGTACCCCGTCGAGTTGCTCTCTCTGCCGCTCCGTGCCAAGGGCATGGGTCTCTTCGCCATGTTCCAGGCCATCGCTGCTGTTATCCACAGCTACGGCATCGGCATTGGCGTCGGAAAGATTGGATACAAGATCTGGGCCGTGTACATTGTGTACAACTTCCTGCAGGTCATTGTCAGTTACTACCTCTTTCCGGAGACGAGCAAGCTCAACCTTGAGGAGATTGACAACATCTTTGAGACACCCGGCACGAATCCTGTTAAACTAAGTATCAAGATTGCGAATGCCAAGAGGGAGAAGGCGAAGCTTGAGCGTGAAACAGTTACTTCTGCGTTGTAAGATGACCACCAAACGGGAAGCGACAGTTTTGTCAAAGTCAAACGCCTTTTTTTATACCCAATTCTCTTTCTAAAATATTGCCAGGTCTCATTATATGCCGTGATTTGTTTCTCGTCTTTTCTGCGCACATCTGCCTCCACTGTTTTGGTGAATCTTACCGAGTGATGGGATATGCCGAGTCGCCACAACAAAACACCAAAAATGTCAAAAAAGAAGCCCTTGCGAGCTCTGTAATGATGACAAGAGTGGGATTCGAACCCACGCCAGCATGCGACGCAAGCGCGTGGTTGCCTTAGGGGTTGACCACTTTCTACCTAAGAAGTCACCATGACCATCGGGGGAAGGAGGCCGAGCCTGACTATGCGCCTACTAAACAAAACGAATCACAACTGTCGTAAAACACTAAAAAATGAACCTCGCGAGAACGAGGAAATGTTGACAAGAAAGGGATTCGAACCCTTGCCTATTTCTAGACTAGCACCTGAAGCTAGCGCCTTAGACCGCTCGGCCATCTTGCCTGGTGATATTGTTGACGGTTGGTCTCGGAAGTGAGGTTATGGGGCGGATGCCCTATGTGGGGCGCAAGGGCATGAATGGCTGCATCGCCGTCAAGGTGCTAATAACCGACCAGGGGCAGGGATGGCCATTCAAGATGTACAAGTTACCGTAGAACGACAGCCCGGATGGCGAAGACTATTGATCCAGCCACTTGACGAGACTTGGTAAAACAAAAACTGGTTGAAACCACAACTCAAGAAGCCCATCCAGTAATAACCTTTTCTCAGGGTGTGTGTCTGAACTCTATGGCAGTGGAGTTCATCCAATTGGGAACGAAACTCGAAGTCTCTATATCCATGGAAGTCCATGGCCAATCATCGAATTGATAATGAAATTCAATGCAACAACAACTTGTGTTTATTTTGCAGAAGAATACAAAGAAAAGTGCTCAGAAGACACACTAGAATGGTAGATTTTACACTCACGGGTACAGCAGCCGCCATCTTCCTTCAGCTCGGACGGAGGTTTTGCCCCGACAGTGGGCCACAGCCAGCGGAACGGACCACAATCTCCGAGTGGCGGCGGCGACCAAGGGACTTTGAAGCAGAATGTTTTGTTTGTTTCGCCCGAGAACCACAAGCCAGGCAGGTAGTAAACGGGTAGACCCGAGCAAGGCATGCATGGATCGCTTGTTTTGCGAGACATGACGCAAGTGATGCCACATGTCAGGCGCGGCCAACGGGCGGCAGACCCCATGTCCTCCACTATGAGGTATCTCCAATATGGGTGCTGTTTGACCCTCTCTATCATTCAGTAACTGGAGACCCTTTTCCCGCAGGGAAGTTCTGCCCTTCTCGTAGCATTTCCTCCTGACACGAACAGACAGCTCCACAACCGGATCTCGATCAGCACTTATGCCCAGGCCATCCCCTGTTAAAGGCCCACAGTTCACTGTGCCTCTATCGCAAGGTCAAGATTTTCCAATTGCTGAAAACGCTCCGACTGGACGGATATCCTTGCGTCACTCACCAAAATAATGTGGCTCATCGGTGAGCCTCAACACGGACTTGATCAGCAAATCGTTCTTCTGTCTTCAGAGCGAAAAAGAAATCGAGGAGCTCTTTGCAATGGCACATCCCGTTCGACACATTCGTTGACCCATTTCTGATTTACATCACACTTCCCTCTCTGGAGTTGTGGGCCACCCACCAAACTGCCCGATAGTCATCATGACGAACGCCTTTCGAACTCAATGGATAAAAGAGCAAACTCATCCCCCCAAATGTGAACACAAAGTAAGAACCACATCAACCATCTTCCTCGCCGAAGCAGCGCCATTTAAGAAACAATGACACAAAACGATCTAGAAACTGGAGGGCCCCTCTCAGGTCGGAACTCAAGAGAATCAAGACGCTCGCACAACTCGCGTGGCAGTGTGAAGATTGGCGATCAGATCATGGCAACCCATCATGGCGAACTTTCGAACTTGGAGGCGCACCTTGTCGCAGCCAGCGGTGAATTTGTCGGCACTTTTCTTTGGCTGTGGACTAGCTATGCTGGCCACCTGATGGCAAGGCATCAAGCACCCGGAGAAGCGCCAGAAGGCGGGATGCTTAATACGACTCTCACTTCAACCGCTCTGGCATATGCGTTTCCACTGCTTGCGAATATCTGGGCATTCTACCGGATCAGTGGCGGTCTTTTCAACCCCGCGGTAAGATATTTGGCGAGCCTCGTTGCAGATGATGACGAGCTAACTGAAGATGCCTATAGATCACACTCGGACTTGTGGCTGCAGGCCAACTTCCTTGGGACCGAGCGATCTTTCTGTTCCCCGCGCAACTCCTAGCCGCTCTGGCAGCTGGTGGACTGGTGCAGTGCATGTTTCCCTGGGATGTGGGCGAGACAAACACCATCCTTGCCACAAACGTGTCCATCTCACAAGGCGTCTTCATTGAGATGTTTCTTGCATCTCAGTTGATGTTTGTGGTGCTTATGCTGGCCGCAGAAAAGCAGAAGGCGACATACCTAGCTCCAATTGCAATCGGCATAGCAGTGTTTGGAATCATGATATGCGGTGAGTGCATCGTCATTAAAGGCTTCACTTCCCATGCAGAACACCTCACTGACACGTTGAATAGGTGGCTATTACACTGGAGCTTCTATCAACCCAGCCCGCAGTCTTGGCTCGGCTGTTGCCGGCAGAAGTTTCCCAGGCTATCACTGGATTTACTGGGTTGGCCCTGCAATGGGAGGTGTTCTTGGTGCAATGTATTATCGCTTTGTCAAGTTCATCCATTATGAGGAGGCGAACCCTGGGCAGGATCACGATGGCCAGTTGGAGAACAAAGGCCTTCCAGACGGTGCGACGCTACCTAGCGACATGTAAAATCAGATTTCTAGTTCATGGACGGATAGAATCTTGGGATATCAAAAGTATTCGTGAACCATAACATTCAAACAGCATCAGCAGCAATGATTGAATCAGTATCGTGGAAGGTGATAGGCTTGTTTGTTATAGATCCGATGACAACTCCGAGAAACTAGCGTCATCAACGAAAATCTCATAGACTATGGCGACTCAAAAACAACCCTAGTTATAAACTTCTCCAGCGGTACATCCCTCTTATTGAGGATCACATCCATGCAATGCTTGATATGGTTCTCCTCCCACCCCGGCTGGCTCGGCCACCTTGTGCCCTTAAAGGGCGCACGGAACTGTTTGCGCCAACGGAAGATGCAGTGCGTCAAGTGGTGCCGCATATTAGCGTAGACGACCTTCCCGGGCCAGACGAGCATGCTCAATTCCGTCGCGTTTACGGGACGTCTGCGCAGCTCGTTGATGGGGACACCATCGGTGGCAGTTTCATCGTCGACCATGTATGTCCACGACCCGTCCGGCTCGGGTCCCATACGGCGGTACTCAGCGGCGAGCTCGTGGTCGATACATGACGGGTGCTCCCACCGCATGTCAAACTCCTCAAACAGACAACCGCGTTCAATGGCATCTGCAGCCGTGTAGCCACAAGAGCGGAAGCAGTCGTGTACGGTCTGGACTGGGTCGTTGGCTGTCCGTTGCTGCTGGATCGCATGGGAAGCGCGGCCGAATAGGTCTGCCACTCCGACAGCGGCGAGAATAGCAACCGTCAAGATGCCCACAAGCCTCGGAGGACCAGGCCATCTTCTCTTTCGCCGAAGACGGCTATCATAATCTCTATCATCGCCATCGTCATCTTTCTCCGCGCGTTCATTGTCTTCGAGTCTCGAATCGTCAGCTGGCGGACGAGGATCATCGTAAAGTGGCATCTGTTGCGAGGGGACCCTATCGTAGCGTGTCTTTCCTGTGGTCGAAGCTTGCAGGTTTCTCACGACGCCTGCCATCTTAGCCATCTGACTCATCGTGGTAGAGAATAGTCGGGTGAGAATAATAGGGGCATAAGTGTCCGGCCAAAGGAAGATGAGCAAAACTTCAGTCGGTTGTCCGAGAACACAGGATCTGGGAGAATGGGTCTCGGCAGTATTGATACATATCACAAGGGGGAAAAGAAGTGGGAAGAAGGAGGACTGCTGACAAACATCTAATCCTGTTAGTTCAAGTATAGATACAACTTCCCAATAACTCAGTTGTCGAGGAGTGCATCAAGCCTAAAGGTCGGTGCAAGGGGTTTCCTCACCTGCCCTCGAGCCATTGTTTGAGTCGCAGGTTTGCGCCTTGGGGATCATCAAACTTTGGACAGGTCGTACCGGTTGGTAGAAGGACCTGAGTGTGAGTTACCGCTGCGGAAGTGTAATTGTAGTGCCGGTCATACTTTACACTATCTATCAACCTGCGTTAGTGTTGAGACTATATTACAGCTAACATGACGTCTCATTGGGCCCTTCGGTCTCGGTCTCAGCTATTGCTGGAACGAGCCGTCCGGAAATTCGGGTCTGGTGATACGTACATGGATGTTGGGGTCAAGCAAAGGAAAAAACGTCCGATATCCAATCGGACCGCGTACGGCTAAAGTATATCCCGACGGATTAGTGAACGGGATGCCCCGTCTACTGGAACAGTGAGAAGAAACAAAGAACGCGTAAACATTGATATTTAGTGATACAACTGATGCGAGCTTAGTCCTAGGTATGGTTTTCATGCTTCTGCTTGCACCTGCTGCAAGGAAGCCCTGAGGCTTCGGAATAAGCTTGTAGACATGCGCCTAGATTCTTTCGGATTCGCAATATGGGAAGTCGATCTAATGGGTTACCGTAACCTTCAGCATAGCATCAGACTGGAAGTTGAAAGGCGGCACAGCATTCTATTTGGCTCGAGAAATGATTCTTCTTGACAGTCAAGGCGAATCTCTCACAGTGTAGTGCTATGGATACTCGAAGTAAATCAATCTTGTGATCTACAAGCAAGATAATGCGACATCTGACGGCTCCATGTCACGCAACAGCTTTCCTACGAGTCAGTGGTGCGGGCCGGGACTTGTCGACCAGTCAACAGGACCTACAGGATTGCAAAGGTCAGCAAGCGTCAAGTTTCAAATTGACTTTGAGGAACATGTGGGAGCCATTGAGTTCAAGAACCTACCAAAATGGGGATGAACTAAGTTTGCCTTTTTGATGTCATACCAGTGTTCCTTTAACCACTGGAAAACATTGTCCCAGTTGACACACTCGTGCTCGACATTGAAATTGAGCCACGGCTTTGGGTGCCAGTCGATCCAGTCCGAAGTAAGCACCGTCACGTCGGCGCGACACATGACAGCCTGGCGCAGTTCGTCGATGCAGTGATCAATGTGCATGGGAACTAGCTCGCCCATTTGCGATGAGAGCATGGGCTGGTACGCTGGGTAGAGGTCCAGTGTATAGCCAATTCGAATCATTCTCTGCGAGTAGTGGTCAGAATAAGCCACATTAAGATGAATGAAGTCTGGCAGAATGGGAATTTCTTACCAAGCAGTGAAGATGATGGAAAATGTCGAGCATGCCGGCGTAGCCTCCCTTGCCGTCGTTAATTCTCACGGCCTTACTTGCGTCCCTGCCCATCTTGGTAAGTTCGTCATCGTCGACGCGGATGTTTATCGCTGCCCGATGGAAAATCAGCATCGATATTCTTTCGTCCCTTCCTCGGAATAATGCGCATCCTTACCGCTCAGCAATTCGTCCCAGGCGTCTTCGAGTTCGGGCCTTGGGTCACCTCTGAACCGGGTCGTGTCATTTAGCCCTGCGTGAAACTTGGCTTTTTCCAATACCACAGCTTCTTTCGCGGGGGCTTAAATGATGTTACACGCAAATTAGCATTATGGACCGCTTGAAGAAGCGTGGGAGGTACAAACTGTAGGTGAGACCGCCGCAGTGGCTACTGATATAGCGGTCTTCTGCTGAGGCGAAGAGTATGACGATGGCTGCGATGCAACCGATGTAAACCACGTCTTTTGTACCAAAATCAAGCCATCGAAACATATTCCACTGCTGCCATCTGTGCCGTCGATTGGTGAGTTTCAACTTTTCGGTGGCATGCTCCGCTAACAACGAGCTCGTCGTCGAATATGATGATGCTGCTTGTTCCTCGTCAATGGGTGAGAAAGGGAGGCCGTGTCCGGTGGCATTGTTCTCATTCTTTCTGTGGCTGCTGTTGAACATCTTCAAGGCTGGTAAAGAAAACATCTTCTTGTTGCTGGCGACGGTATTGCTTGACACTACGGAGTGACAAGGGAAGCGCCTGTATTTCGGACTATTCAATATGGTATGGAAGCCCAAGAGGATTGTCAGCAAGAGTATGTTCGGCAGAGAGAGTTCGGGTGGCCGTGAGTCAATCAGGTATTGGAAGCCAAACACATACCAGCATCCGGGAATAAGGCAGGGAGTGCGAAGCTTACACACGGCAACTAGAATCTTCGAGTCGTGGATGCTGGATCCCAGGTAATTTTACTAGAGTTGGTTCAGCTGCGAGACTCGCATTTACCCCGCTCACTATGATAATACATGCAGACATATTTGCCATTACTGGCCTAGGTATATGCTATGTCTGGCTTAGGGGCTCAAGATTTCACCGTAGAAAGTTATGGTTGCGCAGTAATTCACCGGGCCATACGGCTAGGCGGCCCTGGAAGGTGGGATGGGGCGGTACATGCTAGGACATGTTCACATGGGTAACTTTATCTTGTTGGATTGCGGTATTTAGTCGAGTCAAACCTTATGCACATGGCGTAGATCAAAGGTTAATAGTATTGATGTTGAGGCATTCTAGGGGTTGTAGAATGCGTGGTGCGAAAGAGGGGTAGCTTATGTGACATGTGTAGGGAGGTTCTGCTCAAAGGACTGGCAGCGCAGCTCCGCTAGGTTGTTGTGAAGACCCCCCAGTCCGTTTATCAAGCTATTGGAAATACCAGATGGGTATTGACTTGAATGGAAGGTCATGGCTTATGTTTGCGAGCTTGGGGCTGAAGCTTCCCCATGCCAAATATGAACTCGTCGTCTGTAGAATAGACATGAACGCTGGAGTTGACGTCCTCGACGGAGAGCTCGATGAACAAGGTGATCTGTACGAATAATACCAAGAGTAACTGAACCTCGATAGTTTTGTACTAGGAGCAATCCCAGACCCGATTTCGTTTAAGTGCAATTGCGCGTAATCACCATTGGAGCCTGCAGCAGGACTGGGTATGACGAAGATTTCGCAAGAACTTAGTCCGCGCGAGCATGGCAAATGCTTGGCGCCTAAGGACTACAGACAGTGGTGCGAAGTAGCCCTTTCACGGAAAGCAAATAAACGCGACGAGTCACAAGAACAATGCGCCGGGTTATTCATGATGTCAATCTCGTTTTTTTGCATTTCACCGAGAATTCAGACCACGCATTTGATTGAGCTCTTGAAACAATAGAACTGCCCGAGTGTTGTTTCTCCATTCATCATTCTTTGGGTGCCATCACAACCTCGGGTTTCTAGAGTAATTCATGGAGTACTATCAAGCGTTGTAGTACATCAAGAGATCATCGGCTGTCTCGCGAACCTCAATAGCGGGATGATCAGCCTCAGTTGCTGGCTCATCAGCCTCCTCGCGAACCTGAACAGCAGGCTGATCAGCCGTGGTTCCAGGCTTCGCCTGCATGGCCTTGCCGAGGGCCTGCAAGGCCTCTCCAGGAGCCCCGAGAGCTTTCACAGCCTCCTTGGGGCCACTGACAGACCAAGTAACGCCGTCCGCTGCTGTTGAGTACAGTTAGGACACCCATATAGCCACAAATGAAAGAGAAGATATTAGTTACTAATGGGGGTAGGACTCGCCAAAGTGACGCTCAAGAAGGCAAGGGATGCCAGTACGCCACAAGCAAGCATTTTGATATAGAGGTTCGGGCGGAGGGTTGAAAATTTTGGCTTGAAAAAGATGTCTCGATTTCTTAGATGACGGTACGGTGTAGATATTGATTGGGGTTGCAAGGCGAGGGAACTTATCGCTTAAGTACGCTCACAAGCTTGTCTATTGGAATATCTTCCTCTCTACTACGGTGTGATGAGGTCATCCTTGTGCACTCAGCAAGAGTTGAATGCGAATCAACCGCATTCTGCCCGGTGGAGTTGATGACTAGCGGCAACGCTATGCGGACGCCTGTTTCAAGTTTCAAGAGTATTATTCACAACGATACTTCGGAAGATATGTGGAAAGTATCGTGATCGATGGATTGCGTGTGTCTACATCAGCAAGGTTCGCATGTTCCCGATGGACTATCTCCGAATCTGGGTACTAGTTCCGCAAAGAACTCAAGCCGGCAACATCTTGCGGGTGTTATCAGACTTTAGTCATTGGATTTAATCCGGAATCGACAAATGAAGTTAGTATGATAGGGCAAAGTTTCGTTAGTCAAACTTCAATTGACTGCACAATGCAGTAGAGGCGGCATATTGCATGTTGGGGTAGAGTTTAGACGGCGTAAGAAACTCACTAGTTAGCACCCTCATCCTTCGTCCAGGCACACACGTGCTCATACCCTGACCAGAGGAACTCAAAGTCTTCGCTACGCTAAGGCTGAACTCATGAGAATTGGGTACTGCTGGTATCCCGCCATTCGAACGACTGATTCGCCGCGTTTCCTGGAGCTCTTTTTTGCTATCGAAGCCTTACCTTCATGCGTCCTTCACAGTAGTTCCAGATTCTATCAAAAATGGGCTGGACGCAGCGACAAACGCGGCTGTCGCCATCGCAATTAGGAAGACCTAGTAGGGCCTGGCGAGTGTATGCACTCGCTTTATTGTGCAGCAGCCTTGTAGGGCTCATCATTTTAACTTGGTGGGGAGACGGGGTGACAGTTAGCATGGAACCTCTCCAACGGTGGTGCACATCCACCCAGCAGGCGGAACACCACGGAATCGCAAGAGGTCGTAAGGAAGCCTACGTACGCATCATAGAGCAGTTATTAATACATTGTTGCAGTTCCTACAAAGCTCGTCAGGTTCACAGAGATGCCGGCGTTCAAAGCCGAGCCCAGTCCAGAAAGCGATGAAGCGTGGCGCGCACTGTCAATGGGCCACAGCCTCATTGAGCTCAATAAGAGCGAGGCGCATATCATGGATGTTGGGGATGGACTACCAACAACCAACCCGGCTACTGAGCTTTATGGTGTAAGTTGGACGCACCAGCTGCACTGCTTGGTAAGTCGTATCCTGATAACCGTGTTCGATATGGTCATCACATCCTTCTGTACGATGAATTGGAACACTCATGAGGCTACGTAGGGAATGATTAGGCAGGGATTCTGGGACATCTTCAGACAGCGAAATGAGCTTTTGCATCCTTTGCCATCTGCCCCTCTTAAAGAAAGCAAATCCGACTCGAAAGGTCATTACCTGGATCACTTGCAGCACTGCTTTGACTACCTGCAACAAGCTATCCTCTGCGCAGGTGACGTGACGCTCGAAGGGCGCGCACCAGAGGTGATGGATGAAACGCCAAAGATTAATGGGTATGGAGCTGTACATCAGTGCAGAGACATGGTACGTGACTCCCAATTCGCGGGGTTCAATCAAGACCTTTATGCGCTAATACGAAGGCTTCTCAAATAGAATGCGGTTAGTGAATGGATGAAGAAGCATGCTGTCAAATCGCGTCCGCGCTTTGTAACGCAGGGTCATAGTATGCATGGACATGGGAATGGTGGTTATGGTAGTTAGGCAATAGAAGACGACTAATGCATGTTATTCTTCTCTGTGTTCTAAGGGTCACCGTTCATAATACATGTATAAAGTAGAAAAAAGGCAAATGTATATAACGTTTTGGTAACATGTAGTCATCTAATGAAAAACACCTAGAGGCAAGGCAAAGTCTTCCTCCTAGTCACTAGAAAATCTCCTCATCCCCATCTACAAACTCCTTTACGAATAATGCCTGTCAGTCTTCGCTCACAGGCCGATGCTCGGGTACGGCATGATTTAGCTTATGTCTGTTATCGACATGGCGGCGGTCCATAAAGTCGTATACCTCGTCCCAATTCTTACAGACATGGGGAAACTGATACCAATGGCCGGTCACTGGACCCATATTCCCAGAGAGGGCCACATCGCCGGCGCACATGAGAGACTGTCGAATCCAGTCGATGCAATGATCCACGTGCGTGAAGTCGTCGCCGGGCGAAAGGCCTTGATAGAGGCGGTCGTACTCGGCCATGATAAGATACTGTGGTCATTAGCAAACGCGAACCCTTCCTTAAACATCGGATCATATAACCCGATGGAGACGGGAAGCTGGAAGGTATTCTCACCAGGCAATGCAAGGAATGCGCGACAGTAGTTCCTACAGCTTTCCCGCGCAGTGGCTTTCCAGGCACACCGTGCTCAGGCGGCACCTTATAGTGGATCAGTGTAGGGAAGTCATATTTGGTTGCTTCGTCATCTGAGATGTAGAGGAATCCTTCCCCGGCTGATTGTTGTGCAATGTTTTGTTAGCGTTGAAGCAAGTCCGTCGAAGCTTAACTAAACATAGCGGCAGGTACCAATACTGACGTGGTATGAGTTTCTCCCACAGCTTCTTGACCTCTTGGAGCGATTCTGGAGACGAGTGATTGGAGATGTATTCCGATGTCTTCTCAAAATACTGGATCTTGTGAGAGATTGGCGGGAAGAACCCGATCGGATCGGTCTGCGGCACGAAATGGAATCCATGATCTTGATCTCTTCGAGACTGATGAAGCCCGATGAGCCACGGAACTAGCGCACCCAAAGTCGCACCGGCAAGAAGCCACAAGAACGGCCAGCAAAGCCCGTGTTGCTTTTGCCACGGACGACGTCCTCGGAACATGTGCGGCAATAAAGATTCGCTGGCCATGTCAACGTCCGATAGTCGGCCAGAAGAAGCCTCATCGAACCGATCGCCGTCTTGCTCGTTTTTGTCGTTGACTGACATTTTGGGTACGATCTCGCGGAAGAGTTGTGAATCAGAAGGCGAGGTGTTACTCTAGTTTTTTCCTGTTTGCAAAAGTAACCGGAGCTCCTAGTGGACATTCAGTATGCCCCTCACATACTCCCATATGAGGCAGCGACATAGGTGGGCATGCTCAGGTACCTGGTCACCATATTACAGGGACCCTATGTCGAACGTGCGGAGAAACGCATCAAACCTGAGGAGAAGAATTCGAGCAAGGAAAAGGTTGGCAATGATGGTGGCACAAACTTTTCATAACACATACAAGCTTACGGGGACTTTCCGATAGGTATGAATACTTCCTTGAAGTTTAATACCAACTGGTGTCAACGTTGTTCTAGGCTCTAGTTCGCAATGAAACCGTTTCGGGGATTTATAACGCCTGAATATACACGTAGCTACTGCGTACAGCTAGCTCAAACTAGTCGGCGAGAATAAGCACCATTCTTTCAGGCACATTCTTACTCGTGCCTGCAGCAGAGTCAAACTCAACCTCAGAAGCTTGAATGTCTAACTAGGGCCCATGAACGCATTAAACCCTTTCGCCAACGTTAGGGCCGAGGTACTGGCCTTGATTTTTCATCTGTCTCCCCATAGGACCCCGCGCCAGAAAGTAAAAGCCCCGCACACGTGCCTCCCATGTCCCTTACACACTACTTGAACCTACAATCCATGGATACCTTAGTACTGACATATTGCGCATGAGTCGCAACGAGCAAAACAATAGAACATACTCAAAGACCATAGGACGACAGAACGTAGGATGCCTTTTAGCCGCCGTGGGCGATTTGTGGCGACCGGAAGTATAAGTAATGTGTAGGGCAGGTCGGAGATATTGGTCAGTTGACCGAGCCCTCTCAGGTCAGGCGTTGGCCATGGCGACTTTCAAATGATTCGTTGAGCAGAAGAAGGCTATTCAAGATTGTTCTCTACGAAGGCTAGTCTCTGTTTCTCTGTCGGCATTAGATGTCTCATCGTTCCATGATCACAGCGCCCCCTTGAATAGCCGAGGTGGAAATGATTCCGGCGAAAAGCTGGGTAGAGCTTTGTTCAGTCCATGGAGAATGCTGCTTCATCGAAGGACTTTTCGTCATGACTAAAACACTATGAAAAGGGTTAGTACAATGCGAACCGACTGAGAAGCCATCCGTTGGGTATGATCAAAACCTATGCCATTCCCTCACCATACACCTTTCATAGCGTTTTCCTCAAGCTTCTAGGAAGTCTTTGCTAGCAACGCTCATGCATGAGCCCGAAATCCCTTTGGAAGTGCCTTCGGGTGCTTCACAGGCTACACAGCCGGCCCAACTGCGGTCTGGCAATTCACGCACAGCCACCTCATATCTCGACGGCCTGCGTGGTCTCGCAGCTGTGCTGGTCTACACCTATCACTACTCCATGGCCCTTGAGGGCAAGCGGCTACGGAATGGCTACGGACCACTCAACTCATCGTTGATCTCTCTGCCAGTCATACGGCTGATTCGACATTCGGGCCCAGCCATGGTGTCAATCTTTTTTGCCATCTCAGGTTACGTCCTCAGCGTAGGACCTTTACGCCATGCTCGCTGGCGGCAATGGGATAAGCTGCTGATGTATCTTTCCGGCGCTGCCCTGACGCGTCCGGTGAGGCTCTTGGTGCCGAGTTTGCTTCTGACCGTAGCAAGCCTTGTGCTCGCCTGGTTAGGCTACTACGAGCGCGCTGCGCAAGAGATGTGCCCTCATTCTTCTGCCGCTTCATTTGTTAAATCGTCTTCGCCGAGAACTTGCGTTTTTCACCCTGTGGCCCCGCCGCATTTCACGAGTATGAGAGACCAGATAGCTGACTGGCTTGGCTTCGTGACGCGCGAGCTGGCGAATCCTTGGAACTGGGAGGCTGGGCTAAGACCCGCATCGGCATACGGTCTTCATCTGTGGACGATTGGAGCCGAGCTCCGGTGTTCCATGGTTCTTTTTGCCGTGATAGCTGCTCTGGCTCCCTGTTCGAGGCCTCTTGAGAGGGCTGGCTTGTTGCTAGCCTTATTGACGTTTTGCGCAATATGGGGGAGGTGGGATATGGTAGCTTTTCTTGCCGGGCTTGGCTTGGCTGCCCGGGATGCCAACGACAATGAGGTCGAAACGCAGCATGATGATGCAGGATGTCTTGAAGGCGGCCAATGGCAGAATGCGAATGTAACCGGGCTTGATGGAGTAGCACCTGTGGTCACGATAGTGCGTCGAATGATGCCACCTGTCTCTCTGTTTGCCTCTCTCTGGCTATGCTCTTACCCCGACACCGGTGGCCACGAGGCTTGGGGTTTCGGCATTCTCTCTAGCATTTCGTCCGACAGATATTTGTGGCACACCAGCGGCGCTGTCCTGATGCTCTGGTCCACACGGAGGACAAGGCCAATTCGACACTTTCTTTCATCATTTGCTTCTATCCAATTTCTTGGACGCATTTCATTCGCTCTGTACCTTGTCCACGAACCCCTTCTGCAGGTTTGGGGTTGGCCTTTGGCTCGTTCGTGGTACGGGACTCCTTGGCCAATTACAGCGCTTGTTTTCATCATAGAGACATGCACACTGCTTTGCCTTGCGAGCCTGATGTGGTTGACTGTAGATCAGCCGGTATTACAAATGGTCAAAGTGATGAGGCGATATATTTTGTAGTTAGGTGGAAGATAAGTTGAAATTCTGAAGAATCACGTATTCTGACATTCTTGAGACCCAAGTAGATGTGAATGGTGATCCACCTACAATTCCCGGAGCCAATAATTGGGCATAGCCATCCGGTATGCTCTTGTACTTTGCTACTACATTCGATACTAAGAAGGCTTCGCGTGTCACACCCAGAGAACTGTTGAAGCAAAGAGCAACATGTGCTTTTTTCTTCCTCGAACATATCACACTCCACTTTGCTAGCGCACTCCTACCGTTCCCTGTGGCTGGCATCTTGCTGGAGTGCTACTAAAAGTGAAGGTTGAACTTCATGCGCCTATCATAGACGTGTTTTGCGAGAATGGTGTCGGGCATGTCTGCCGCCGAACAGGGTTTTGATTGAGCCGTCCGTACTGGAAGAGTTGGTCGTACGCGGGCGTCCATCCATCGGTCCGATTACCAACTTCCTGGTCCTCGACCCAAAGGCGCCACGAGGCCAGATCAGAGCATGTCTTTGCCGGCCGGTATTGAAGGAGTAGCTTTCCTCGCGGTGTACCTGCTAGCGCTTTTGAAAAATAGTCTGCCACCTGTCGGTTTACCCGCTGGCTGTCTGAATGATGCCGTCTGTGTTGGTCGTTGAGTTTTCGGTAAAGTCCGTTAGGGACCATTGCCGGGGCGTAATCGATGACTTCCACGGGGATATCTCCGTATGTCTGAGTGAGGTTATGAGCGAGTCTCTGTACGGATCGTTGGTACTGGATGTGCCCCCTGTTGATGCTTGTATCATGCATCAAAACATCGTCAGAGAGAAGTTCGCCGTTACCGAGCTCCCTTTGAGGCCTTGGTCGAGGCGTCACAATGAAGGCACGCATTCCAAGGCTCTGCGTAGTTTCTTCGTCATCGCCGAACATGACGCCGGCATTGCCCCTTCTCGGTTTCCGGATGAGATCGTCCAGGCCATATTGGAAAAGCCTGTGTGAAGGATGATTCGGAGGTAGACCTTCATGCATCTCCTCCAGGACGCGATATCTGAACTTCGGCTCGAACGACATGTCCTCCTCGAAGATATGGCTGATCCAGGCTCCGCGTCGGGAGACGAGAACTACCGAGGTGCAACCATAGAGGCCCTCCAGCGCTAGGGCCGTCACTTCTGACTTGAAAACAACCCAATTCGATGTGATCATACCAACATCGTCATGATCCACGTGGTCGGAAACGCCATGTCTGACAACTTTGGGTTCGTATCCGATGTCGACCTCGGGCATTTTGTCGTGGTTTGAAATCTCACGGACCTCCTCTTCAAGGAATTTGTCTTTGTTTGTATAATGACTTGGGTCTGGCCAGTCACCACGGGCCGGTGCACTTCGCTTTTGCCTTCGTTCTGGTAGGAGTGACTTGGACCTCTGCTTAGGCGTGGCTGAGCGAGCCATTTTCGCGCAAGGGTCCAGGGTGCCAGCTGTTTCTTTCCGAGTCGAAGTCTGTCTCTTGGAAACCGCCCGTCGGACGAGACTGGAAATGACGTGTTTTGTGATAGACGTATAGCCACTGCTCACGAGGTTGCGTGTGGGTTGAGGATGCTGATTGCACAGTGGGTCTATTACAAGCAAGGGATTAGCAGGTCAAAGGTTTGCTGGTCTCAAAGGCGACAGTGACTTACTTTGCATCACGAAACTCGAGGCAAGCTTGGCGATAGCTGGATAACTGACTGTGGTTGATTGATTTGGCGACAAAACTGCGGTCGGCCTCCATTATGAGTTCGTCCGGTACTTGCGTTGTAGCCATTTTTATCTTACCCATATGTGTAGCTCCGTGGTAAGGAGAAGACATTTTTAGATTGAAGTCTGGATTTGGTACATATGCTGGCGGCGAAACAACTTTCGAACTTCTGGTTGTCGATAAAAAAGCGGGCTTGTTGGTCGCAGTCGCGTCGTAGATAGTTGCATGGGTGCTCGTCTGGCTCGATTTTGGTGTTTCAGTGCTCATAAATAGACCCCCAGTCTGAAGTCAGGTCAAAACACCAAACAAAAATAGGAATACCGGTCTTGGATTACCACTAAGGAGTCCTGCTGAGACGTTGAAGCCGACCAGGCGCAAAGCCAAACTTCATCAGGCCAGAACATCCAGAGTCAATCGAGGTTTTCCCACGACGACACCAGCCGTTCTGCTGCAAGCGACCGCCCAAGTTCTTGTTTGCATTTCTCATTGGCCGATTACAAAAGCTTCATATAGAAAGTAAGCAGTTTATGAAAGCTTTTTTGGTAGGTGATAGACGCGATCCATACTCACGATCGGAACAATAATTAGGGACTATGAGGACGCCAAGGATACGAAGGACGACGTAGACAGAACGGGCGACGGTAATAGAAGGAAGGAAATAATGAACAAGCAATTCCCCCGCGTTTTTAAGCTGGAATTATGCAGCCGAAAAGCAGAACTACTATTAAGAAAACAAAACTTGCTGACACTCAGCATATAAGGCTTAATTCTTGTCGTCATGGACCCCTACCACAAGCTGCGAAGTTTTAATTTAGCAACGACCTCAATTACTGCCAGCCTATAAACGCCACCATACATCTTCTCCCAGATATTTCGAAAAGATTGCGCGAGTCTTAAGTGAAGAATTCTTATCGTATTTGCCTCCAAGCGCTTTCCGCCCTTGAAGTCCTTGCCTTAATCTTCATAGACATAATACATCACGGGCGACAACAAAATCGCGATTACTAGCCATTGTAGAATGAAAGCGCAACTGGGGCTTCTTTCCACAATCATATCTGATTTTTTCGTTGGAGATTTTGGGTTTTGAGTCTCACACGGCGCAAACTAATTCAGTAAACATGAACAGCATTTTAGCAAGCAGTTTGTGGAGACCCCATGTTCCCCACGACTACTTAGTTCTCCGTCCACCATTTCCGCGGATCAATTCCCCGAGATCTTCGTAAACGGCATTCGCCGAACTCAATCATGATCATGAAGCAAATGAGTCTATCAGCCTACGACACGCAGGCAGAAGCCGCACTTGAACTTGGCTGTACACCATCACAACCTATCGATCGAGCACAGCTGTGAGGTGATGCAAAGAGTCGAAGTAGCCAAACCTTACTTATTTGCGGACCGCGGCGGGAAAAGCGGCTTCGGTCAGTGGGGGTGTTGATCCGTGTACAATCTGACGTGATTTTAACATCGAAGTATATCTCAGTTCATCCCTACGGACTGTTAGGGTTTGGCTGCACGTACCCGACGCCCGGGATGCAATGCAGATATGCACAGAACACAGGCTCGATAAGACATCCCTTTGCAGCAGCATCACCCCGAGCTCACCCCCACTTGATATGATTACGGGAGATCACTCGTGACGGAAAACCTTCTGGCCGGAATGCGACAGGCGCGCGGGAGAGGCCCCGCTGCGGACAGATGCCATATTGTTTTGCCCGTGTAGGGTCGCATCGACAGGAGCTGACCCTGGGCGCCAAGAGCCGGTCTGTGCGACGATTGATTGATCGTATCCTGTTTTTGAAGATACTCAGGGTTCTGAGCCGGCGGGCTGAAGAACTGCTCGAAATCACCTCATGAATGAAGGTGTCATAGACTCGTGATTCAAAGATGCACTTCCAACAGCTCTGTGCGTCGACAAAGACAAGTCGGATCTTATGAATTTCCGTCAGATTGAACGACAACCCTATACCATGGCCAGATAGACGAGAGCCTGCAGTTCAGATGATGCAAGTGACCCAAGCCACCACGTTTATCAGCCAATACCCGCTGGAATGACTCGCATCTTCACTCTTCATAGGCGAGAGATGCCTACCTCTCTGCTGATCTGCAGGGGTACATACAATCTGCCGGCTGTCAGCTCTCTTCTCGGTAAGCACTGTAACCATTTGATTCATGATCCTGAAGCACGCCCGCCTGGGCAGTTCGGGGACATCGGAAAGAGAAAACCTGTATTCGTCCGAATAGCAAGATGGGATAGATAAAAACATGGACCCCAGAGTTTTCTGGGGATCCCTCTTTCTTGAGTTCAACCAATGTCTTGGCTCCATCGATCGCAGGTTCGTTAATCCACAGTCAAGCCGTGACCATGGATGAAAGCCCACACGGTCGTCAGCTGGCGAGGAGCACGCCCATGCCAGCATTCAACATGACTCAAAGGGCTTGTATCGGATTCAATGCTTCCTTTATCATCTTCATTGTCTTCGTCATTGGCATCAGACTTTACTCCAGATTCGGCATCACCAAGTCGGGAGGCCCAGATGATAGTATGTGCCGAATACATCCCAGTGCCTTCATAGCGAAGTTCAACAGCTGATGTACCGTGATAGTCGTGATGGTTGCTGGCACCGTAGGCACTACGACCTTTATTCGAGGAACACCGTCTTGACACCGTCTCGCAGATCGCGACAATTGTCATGTCAATATGCGTCATTATTTCCGTCACCAACGGCCTCGGACTCATCAGTGAGAGATGGATGTCCTTCAGATGCTCGAGCATGACTGATTCTGTGGATAGTTGCCGACATTCCACCCGAAAGTTGGAAACCCATGTTACTTGTTCGTCATTACCCGCCTATGGCCCCTTCGTTATCGCACTCAAAACCATTCGAGACCCTAACATGGTACAGTCCTTTTGGATTTCTCGAGTCTTTTACGCCTTCGCTTTGATGCTAGTAAAGATAGCTTTGCTGCTGTTCTACCTACGCCTCGATCACCGACGACGAATGCGATGGATAGTCTTTGGATTGATGGCGGTCGTCATTGCGACGGGGATCGCCCACGCCGGCATTTCCATCTTCGAGTGCAGCCCGCCTGCGATGTTCTGGACGTTTGGAGGAAACTTTAGGATATTCGGAGAACATTGTATGACGGCGGCTACGCAGCAAAAGTTCTGGGACGCGACCGGAGCTATTGTTGTCGTGACGGACCTGTGCTTATGGCTGTGCCCCTTACCCATGGTGTGGTCGTTACAGCTACCCATTGTGAGAGACTTTCTACCTTTGAGTTATGTTCAGTTACTAAAACACGCGACCACAGCGACAGAAAATAGCGGTTTCTGCCGTATTTGCCCTTGGGATGGTTTCCGTTGCAGGTATGTCTCAAGCACACCATCGTCCTTGCCCTTTCCTTTCACCCTTCTGACGATCCACAGCTGCCTGCACGCGTTTCTACTACGTACGAAAACTGGCATCGACGAAAGAAATCTACCAGCAATTCGCCGAGTCACTTATCTGGTACTCACTCGAGATTTACCTCGCCATCTTCTGCGGGTGCACCTCCGCCTTCAAAGTCTTTCTCAGGAAGCATTTCCCATCGCTACTAGGCTCCTTAGCTTCAAAGACAAGATATGTTCTCGGAAGCAGCGGCAAGAATGGGAATGTGAGGATGACGGCTTCATCGTTCCCCATGCAGAACTTATCCGGTCGGCACACAGGACGAAGAACCACGATCACGGCGGTTGACACTCGCGAAGGGTCTGAAGCACGAAACGATGTTCCGCCAACTAATGATAGTGAAGAGGCTATTGTCCCCAAGTCCACTACAACAAATTGGGATACGCAGAAGGAATAAAAACATTAATAGTACACCCTGTTGCCAACGTGGTTGTAATTGACGCAAAATATGGCACTCGACTCTTGTAAAAGGATACCAGAACTTACTCTTTCATCCTCGTTTTGAACTCGGCGGTGAATGCAGAAATTGTATTGTTGTCTCTTGGTTCAAAAGAGTGGAGTGGTCTTACAAGGATGTACCGCGAGCCCTGGACGAGGGGTGATGGTTGATGCACTGTCTGATTCGGGAGTGACGAGGCGCACTCCCGCAGCATGGGGGGCTGGAACGAATTGTTTTATGACGCGAGCACGTGATTTCATGTCAGGCTTCAGATATGCGACTGATGCTACTTTTGGCCACTGTGGGAGACACGGGCTTGTCAGGCAGATGGCAGATGAGTGGTAGTAGCAATCACATCTTGCACCTATTAACTGTGCGTTAGGGCTAATTCACATAGGAAATGGACATATTAAGGAAATAGAATATAGGTGTCTTGAAAACAACTTTGTCCTTAGCCAAGTCTGCCCGGTCCCAAAATCTTCCATTTCTTACTGCAATAACAACATTGAATCTTATCCCGTGTAGGGTTGACAACATCGAATGGCCGCCCACATCCCGGATTGAATGTCCTAGCCCGATAGCACTGGAACGTCATATACGGCTGTCCGTCATACTTATCCCGCCTTTTCTTCAGTTCAGGATCATAGCCCGGGGGGTACACCGGTGCAGAGTTCGATCTCGCCATGACGGTATTCGGTCCATAACCGACCCCTTCCGCTCTTCGTCGACGTGGATACTCTTCGTAGCCACCTCTCTCTTGGTCCGTTTCGAGTCGATCTCTTTGTCCTGCTTCCGAAATCTCCCTGCGCTCTTGCGCCGCGGCCATCCGATGAAGCTCGCGCTCTCTTGCACTGGAAGCCCACTCGAGGCGCTCCATTTCCATCTCCTTCTTAGCGACGGCCTTTTCGGCCTGTTGCTTCTCCATTTCGGCAATTTTAAGGAGCTCGCGGTCTCTAGCCGCAGAAGCCTGCAGCTCGCGTTCTTGTTTTGCACTCTGGGAAGCTGCTTCTTGCCACCGGCGCTCAAGGTTATTGATTTGAGTCTGTGCAAGGATGTGTCGGTCCTCTGCTTGTTTCTGCATCTTGGAAATGATTTGCGCATACTCGGCTTGGATTTGGGTCTGGAACTGTTGGTTGCCTGATAATGGTTCAGTTACATCAAACATGACAAAAGTTTGAAGATGCGTACCTTTCGCCATTTTCGATCCCATTTCTTCTCTCAATTGTGTCAGCTGTTCCTCATACATCTTTTCCAATCTCACAATGTCCTCCTTGATGGAAATGCCAGCATCGGTCTGCCCTAAAAGCTTGCCGCAAACAATTTCCTCTTGCAACTTGAGAGTTGTCGGCTCATTGACTAGCATACTGCGTACTACGTCCCTGGCAGAGTCTGCGCTTCCGTCGTGTCGTCTGATGACGGACCTACCAGCAATCATGAGGCCCCAGAAGCCGTCCGGACTTTTCAACTCTCTTTCTTTTGCCTCTCCAAATTCAGGGGTGACTTTGTCCCACATTGTAGTCAACAGACACACTTTGGAGAGATTTTCGGTCCCACAAAGCTTGCGGAACATTCGCAAGTTTTTTATTGAGGAACCCGACATTCGTACATCCGATATTCGGTGGAGGTAGACAATCCCTGAAAGTAATGTGTTATCCTAGCAAAAGTTAGTTAGAGTGCCGCACTGCCGTCACAGTCACATCACTGTTTTTGTCACATACCTTGTAGGAACTTCCTAGCCAATTTGCTATTAGTTCGAGAATTTCAGTGTCACTCCTTTCCGAGTCGTCGAATCCCGGAGTATCCACAAGTGTGACATCATGACCGTCAAGTTTGAAATCAACCGTCTCAATTTCCTGGGTGCCTACTGCATGTCAGCTGGAGGACATCGACTGGAGATGCAGACGCGTACAAGATTCAAGGGTATGTCCAGTTCGAAGTTGGCTTGCCGCCTCACCAGCAAGGGCTTTGATAAAGGTTGTTTTTCCGGTCCCCGTTACACCAAATACAGCAATGAGTATCCTTTTCCCAGGTTGGTTGACAGGCTTACGAGGGATGAAAGAGTTCGGTACTGGCACGTTTGGACGTTTTGGGAGTGGAGGCGGAGCCGAGAATGGATCATGATTATCATTTGCAGAGGCGGGGCGGTGTGTCTGATAGTTGACGAAACCAGGAGAGGCATCATCGGGATTCTGAAGTCTCTGGGCTGGCTCCTGCATGAGCCATTCTGGAACCGGTTGTTGAAGAGCTTGTGCGACAGGGCCTCTGGTAAGCTGCGGTGGTGATTGCTGTTCCATCCTTCCCTGGCTTCTTCGTTCAGGTAGGCCTGGCCCAATTTGTTGTTGTGTGCTGAAATTCAACTGAGATGGACCCGATTGTCGCGACTCCAGACGGGACGAGTCTCTGGAAGGCAGCCTCAAATCAGACCCAGAATCGGAATCTTGGCTGATTGAACCATCGATGCTTTCATGCAGGTCACTTTGATCATCGTCGTCATCCTCATAGTCGTCATACTCATCGTCATCGTCATCGTACTCATGATAGTATGGTTGCCTGGTCGTCGCCGGTTTTCTCCTCGCCGACAATTTCGATGAAATAAAAGACCGCATTTGAGTTTGAGTACACTTCTTGATGAGAAGGTCCTAAGTGAGAGAAGTGAGTGGAGCGGTCCAGCTTGCCTTCGGTCGACGTTGGACGGAGAATCAGGTCTGCTTAAGAGGAAAGACAATACCTGTGCCTTGGTGGATGAGACTCAACATATCCCAGTCGTGCAGGCACTAAGAGCAGGCTGGCTCGGGCCGTTGACAACGAGGCAAGACAGTGTACCTACGCGCACACCCTCAAGACAAGATCGCCAACCTGATTGGGCATAGATACTGCACAATCAGCAATAGTTCTTGGGGGCGCATGCCACAACACATGTGGTTCCGTAAATAGAGCCAAACAATACTGCGTAAGGCAGTCGTGCAGGGGCAATATGTATTGACTGGACTGGGCGTAAGCTGATTCGACCGCTTACAACAAGGCAAAGTGCTCACAACACCGGCCCCTCGTGGATGGTGACAAATACAACCTGTACTTGCAGACTGAAAACCCAAGACAGTTAGCGCAGGCTGGCTTGGCTGTCACAGCCTGCGAAAATAGATCATATGCCAGTTTTCGCGTGGCCCAACATCCCAAGCTGAAGAGGTGCAGGAAAGGATCGACTGTCGCGCTGACTGTACTAAATCCGCGTCTCACATTGGTTACTCGATAAGGGTTGAGCTGCTTAATAATGACGACCATCTTCTCTTGGATAGGTACTGCTTTTCTATAAGTAGATATTAAACCCCTATACCCGATAAGGACAATCATTGAAGAATTCGCAGTACCAGCTCAAGCAAAGCTTGAGGGGATATAGAGCTGTACCTTATCAAGCTTCCACTGAGGTAAAATAGTCTAGCACTCTTAGATATGTCTACTCATATTAAGTAAGTTACTTCTTAGCTGGATATGCTGCAAGTTTCTAACGGTATGTGTATCAACAGGCCAAATGACATTGTCATAGCTGTTGTCGGACTTGCGGGGGCTGGAAAGAGCACATTTGTTTCCCAGTGTACCGGTCAGAACGTGGAAATAGGCCATAACCTAGACGCATGTAAGCTTTCCAAATCTCGTGTCAGAGGCAAAGGCTGAGCAAGCAGCAGGTACAAAGCTTGTGGAGCCGTTCACGTTTAAACGCAACGGCTACACAGTCCATCTTATCGACACACCTGGCTTCGATGGAAGCACTACCTCGGATGTTCTTTTGCTTCAGGACATTGCAGCTTGCCTGAACCAAGCATATACTCATGGTGTTCAAGTGAGCGGCATTATCTATCTGCATGCCATAAACAGCCCTCGCGCCCAAGGCTCTGGTAGGAAAGCACTTCGTATTGTGAAGAAGATCTGTGGAGAAGATGCGTACTCTGTCGTGCTTCTCGGATCGACAATGTGGAATAAGGAAAACTTCTCAGTCGCAAAGAGGCGGGAAGAAGAGTTGATAAACAGCCAGGAGCTCTGGGGGGATATGATTGCTGCTGGGAGCAAGTCGTTTGCATTTTATAACGACCGCGCGTCTGCTTTGATTGCGTGCGATTACATTATTCAACAGGGGCAGAAGAGGACACTGGCGCTGCAGCACCAGATGGTCAATGAGCACAAGTCGTTGGATGAGACAGAGGCAGGGATTGAGATACAGGGCGATGTTTTACGTGTTCGAGAGCTTTGCAGGTCCAACCTCGCAGAAGCAAGGAGGGAGGCAAAAAGAGCAGCGAGGTTGAACAATGAACAGGTTGCATCTGCGCTTAATGCATCGAAGGAGGATTTACGATTGCAGTTGTATAATAGTGAAAGAGCTCTGACCATAATGCATGGAGATATGGAGGCGTTGCATGCACGGAGCGAAGCTGCACTGAGGGAAGAATTAGATAGGTTGGAGAGGAATAGAGAGCGGGACGAACAACAGCGAGTAGAGATGGAATTGAAGATGGGGATACTAGAGGATCGACTACAAGCCCAAGGGCTGGAGATTGGACCCGGATCGGCTTTCTCCCGCAAAACAATCTCCGGTGGAATGCCGCAAAGCCCTGAGGAGGTCGCCAGGCTCTTGGAAAAGTACAACGATTGCAAGAAAGAATTGGATCTTTGTCAAAAACGACAAGATATCAACAGGCATCGTGAGAATACTTGTCTGCTTAGGATTGGAACTGGAGCTGGTGTTGTAGGCACTGCGTTTCAAATCGCGTCAGTGGGTATGGCTGCGGCAGCTTGTACTATTATGTAGCCTATATGTCCTTCAGTACTGCAGCCTCAAGGTGCGCGAGCACCCTCATACCAGTTCAGATAACCCGACCACACTTATTTGTGCTTGCACTTGCTGAAACCCCTGCAAGTAGGTACTTAGTTATTCTAAACCCATAGGTATGTGTACTGTACTAACCAGAGTGATTTTACTGCCTTTTCCCCCATTGTGGATGATTTGGTGAAGAAGAATGACTCGTGGATATCGCAGTCGGATTCAGATCCGAGGCCGTTCGACATCGCCGTAGATGATTTAGGTAAGAAACGCGAGATAGCGGATCAAGCCATCGAATACATGAACGCCGACGGGAAACGCCAACTCAACAGGATTGAGGATTGTGCTGCGGCTTTGCGGGATCCAAGCTCGAAAGACGACCATGCTCACGCCGCCGCCGGACAAGATTTCATTTGAGGAGGGGTCCCGTCGAGCTTGTGTAACGTATCGGATTTAACAAGTAGATCTTATTGTCTGAGGTAGTGTTTTGATCATGTGATTCTGCGACTTGACCTCAAATGACCCAAGGAATAAACCTCGCCGTCTTCGCATGCCACCGGACCCAATCCTCCTTAAATTCCTCCTTCAACATGGCCTCCTCCTCCACGACTCTAGTTCCAACCCCTGTCAAAAACAAACAACCCCCAATAGCCAGACCCGCAATCTCGACCCCCGTCAAGGTCTTCACCATGTCCGGCCGGATCCAGCAGCCCAGCACGCCGTCTAGTCGCGCAAGCAGCGCGATGTTGCACAGAACAAGCACTACAACGGCAGTGTAACTCGGGTGCTGCATGTACGCATAGATCCCCGTGGTCCGCAGCCCGCTCGGCTTGGTCAGCGCAAACGTGAAGTTCTTGCCGAGGTGGCGGTAGGGAATGAGACGCAGTGGGACGCCAACGAAGAAGAGCAGCGCGAGCGGGATGGCCGTGGAGGGGGACCATGTGATGAGGTCTTTGTTGAGGTTCTGCGCGCCGTGGCCGAGCAGGGCTGGCGGCAGGTTGGGATATTTGTAGGCGAGGGACGCAGCGTGAGAGGAGAGAAGCGCAAAGGGGATGATCATGAACTTGGCGAAGTGGTTGTGGGTGAACTTCCACATGTGCATGGAGTCGCGGATTGGTTGGCCCTTTTGGTCGGTCGTCGGAGGGGCGTCGGCGGGTCGCGGATTTGGAGGGGAGAGAGCGATATAGGTGCCGTAGGTTGAGCCCAGATAGGCCGCAGCCAGAGATAACTGTGAGAAGCTCATCGTGAACGACTTCTCTGCCTTGGCTTTGGTGATGTGAAATGAGACGTTGAGGTTGTTGAGATGGGAGTGGATGGGGGCGGGAATTTGAAGTTGGAGGAAGCTTAGTGACGTTCGGTGGCGATGGCACGGGCCACTTTTAGCGGCCCGCGCTAGTCGATTCAACCGCTGGGAACCCTGGAGAATTAGCGCAAAGGGAGAATTGAGGAAAAGACATGATGCGACTGTGATGCAAACATGAATTTCCGGCCCAGTTGTTGGTGCTTCGCCGCTGAGTTGTCATGTTTGCTTGAGATATGTCGCTTACCTTGCGCCAACTGCCCACTGGGATGCTGGATTAGGCAAATGCGACCCCTGTCGTTCTCGCGCAGCGGCTGAATTAGCGGCAGAACGCATGTTGGCCAAGCCGGTCTCGTCCGCGATTGGTGTAACTGCAACTACATCTCTTCACGATGGAACCGGTGTCATTTGAGAACGACATTCAAGACCCGGCTAGACGAATTAATCTCCGTTATCGCAATCCAATGTGGGCGCCATTGTACTAATTCCTTAGCCGATGAGAACAGGGCCGTGGTCCTCGGGTGCACCACGTATTTTCCCTTTTTGTAACATCTGAAATCTTATCCTCGTCTTGAGTCACATCGTTGCAAGTGGTAGTGAAACGTTCGTGTTGATCTGAGTAGTAGAACAATTGTATCTCTCGCCCCATTCCGAATAACATTTCTTCGTGATCCACATCAACAACCATCCACATGGATCCACAACCATAACCACAGCCTCAACATGCAACAACTTGTTCCGACGCCCCCCTACACGCTCCATTCTAACACACAACTTACACGTGCTTTTCAATGCCAACCAAAGTGCGACATATACTCTCTCTAACTCCAACAACCACCGATACCCTCTGCTCCAGACTCCTTGTTTCCAGTCTCATTTCCGTCGCCCTGTGCGCTTACATCCCCTTTAATCCATCATCATCATCATCATTCCTCATCGTCAACATGTGAGCCCTTCCATCAGCGTCTGCAAGACCATCTCGCGTTTACATTCCTATTGCGCCCATTGTCCGATACCGTCACTTGGAAACTCCTATTATTGAAGTTCCTCGGGGGGTCGCCTCTGAAATCGCAAGCAGGCCGGTTATTGTTGCCCTTCGGGCTACCACCGGCAGAACGGCACTGTCGCTGTGCCTGACGCGCGAAGCTTTGATCAAAGCGGCGATCGAGGTTTCCTTGAGGCGACGCGGTGCAAGTACTCGCGTACACGCTGGCAGCACCAAGGAGGAAGAACCAGAAGAGAAGGGTAAGCTTCACTGTATCAATGTTAGTACCTGACCTTTAGTAGATTGAGTATGCACATACTTGTGATATGTTATTGCGGTGGTTTGAGCGAGTCTTAGTTGTTGAACGTCTTTACTGATCAAGGCTGCAGGTGAGCTGATGATACTGAGCAAATGAAAATGGAGGCAGGAGCAATCAGTCCAATTTATATCACTCGCTCACGATCTTGGCATAATTCTCGCCAAATCCAAGATACGCGTCCTCTCTGGTCCCCGAGCTCGAAGCTTGCCCACGATCTCGGCCTCGTCCAATGATTTCCGCCCTAGCCCACAGCTGGCCGGTTTGGGTAAACAAGACATCAGATCTCGCAAACGTGATTGGACCACCTTATTCGGTTTCGCATTCGAGACGGCGGCAGTGATGAAGCTTAACCCTACCGCCGCCACGGGGAAACGCTCTAGGGGAAAAAGTATGCGTCTTTACAGCCTCAACCCCGCGCGCGCGTCGTAGAGATTTATTTTCCCTGCCAAGGCGCTACGTGTAATTGGCCAGCAACCTGCGACACGTGCGAGGTTATGAGCATATTTGGGTCAATGTGAGGTTCGTCGATACCCGACGAGCGTGCAGCTTGCAGTAACCCCCGTTTAAAGGCGGGATGGAAGAATAAGCTTGAAGAACGGGGTTATTTTGTCGCAAAAGCGCAACAAGATCACACGTGGAATTTTGTTCGCGTTTGAAGAGAGCGGCACCATTCCCCAGTCGGAGAGGCAGGCGAGTTCCGTGACATCATTGGAGCTTGTGGTTGCCGGCGGGAGACTTCTTCGCCTTGGCCTGCTGGAAAGCCTCACTTACGTCGCAAGCTTCTAAGCCTACTACTAGTGAAGTCAAGAGAGAATTGCGCTATCTGTCTGCCTTGTCGGCTTGCCCGGATCACCAACGAGCATGTTCACGATCATACTCTTCCAGCATGAAAACCCTCATCTCCAAGCTTAACGGGGCGCGGCAGTCTTCTTCTAATAAAGAGTTCGATTCGGGGTCTTGGCAGCTGAGGCTCAATTTCCAGGCTTGGCTTTGTGGCTCCCGATATAATTAGTGAATCCACGGACCAGACGGCCCTCCAATATCTCCGCCGGGTGGGCGCATCGACACTGCCCAGCCCACGGATCACTCCGGATCGACAGCACCCAAGGCCAAGATCGGAGGATAAACTCTAAAGTAAACCCAACCCAGTTCGCACTCTGCCCGTACCCCAGAACCCCCTCCCGGCTCGACCTGCTCCGTCGATGGTCCGGCTGTAGTGCGACGGCTGCGTGCTGCGGCTACACTTTAATCTTGGAGGAGCTTTTGTTTTGTTCCCTATCTTGGAGGAGCAACCGGCGTGAGCCTCCCTTCCCGAAAACGGGTGCATATCAAGGGTGCCGCTGCCAGATAGTCCGTCTGGCAGCGGCCGAGCGGTGAGTTCGTGTAGCTGCGTTGGCATATCGGCAGCGTCGATCAGCGGCCGAAGCGCCTCGAAACAAGGAGACTCACCCGACTGGACCGCTCTTGGGCGGCAGCTCGCACAAAGTTCGCGACGGCAGGGGTCCTTCGTCCAGTCCTTTAACGATAAACATAACCTCCTCCCCTAAATGGGCACCATCAGGTAGTGTATCTGCCCTCGTGGTCGCAATCGGTTGTGCATAATTTGTCACGGAAAGTTCGGATCAGACAACACCTCGCAGCAACGCAGACAGCGTTGTCAGACGGTCAGCGTAGGACTGGAGGCGTCGCCATCGTCTGATGAAAAGCGGCGTCGTTTATGGTTTGGGGCCTTGGTTTCGGCTGGGGCTGCCGTGCCGAGAATCAGGGTCCAATTATCGCGCGTTCCGACGACGAGGCACCCACGATGCGATGCGAACATCGCCGTTTGTTCGCCCGGCGGGTGCGGGATGTCAGATTGTGAGTTTTCTTGGCGAAGATGAGAATTTTCCCAATGCCGCAAATGTCCGCCATTCGGGTTCCCAATTTCGAGATCCAGACTGGTGAGGAAAGTTCCATGAGCCAACAGTCCTGGTGCTTCTCTATTCTCGACACTGCAAAGACGGCAAGCACGATTCATGTTTTTCCGGAATGAGGCGATGCTGCCAGTCAATATGAGTTTCGTTTCAGCAGGTGGAACCGCGTACGGCCTTGGCATCAGAACTTCGCAAACGGGTCGATCCTCCAAGACGGCACTTCGCGAGATGCCACATTGCCATTCCTCTTGAACAGGTGCCGGACCGTCGGGAAGCACCAGATGGACTTGACACACGCGGTGTTGAGAATTCCATTAATCCGGCGACATAATGGCACTTGTCTGAATCCTACGTTACCCTTCTTCTCGGCCCCTCGGACGATACACACCCACTCTTGGGTGAATTGGCAGTTCATCCTAATCGAATCCCTTGAATCCGCCGTATGGTGCAGTACACCCTCTCGACAAGACTGGCACTGCTTCAAATGCTGTGCATTCCTTCGCTCCGGACCATCCGCCCACACCCTGCAGCAGATTGATTACGCCTGCAAAGCACCGAGGATACAACAGTATATTCATGTTTGCTGCCGTGGTCAAGAATGAAAGAAACATAGAGGTTCGAGAGCGCCGCGCTATCAGACCTCTCATCACACGTGATCATCCCAAGCGGTCTACGCTGTAGCCCAAGCGTGTACAAATTGAAAAATTATCCATCATGTGACAACTGGCATGGCGATTGACGGAAGGTGCTCCGGTATCTAGCCTCGCTCTCATCTAGCTTACATGCTAGCTAAGCCCAAAGGGCGTATCCAGAATTAGGCTCTTGGCGTAAGTAATACCTAGCTGTGAAGTTGTGATCATCAATCATACCCTTGTGTCGTTAGTTTGATCCTATGTCACCAATGATGCCCTCGAAAACGTCTCTTTACATTTCAATTTGTATAGCTTGCAATGTTTAGTGCTACGTTAACTAAGGTCCAACGTGAATATAAGCCGCCCAAATCAACGGATTACTTCCTTTGCTTTTACCCTTGGATTTGAGAACCCGTCCATTTCTCGACTCCAACTCCTCATTCTCATGTTCTGTGGAATCTGAGGGGTTTGTACATTTCCTTTCGTGTTCCAGACTGGTGATATCTCGGAGACGCCTCGCAGCTTTGTGCACACCCAGCGATATCGATGTGTCGTCACCAGCTTTATCGAGGGTGTATATGGTTCTGTACACCTCTTCCGCTACTTCAACTGAATAGCGGTCAGATGTCTCCCATAGCGATCCGATGACATGCTTAAAGCCCGCCAGCTGGCATGCAGTTACCAGATATATCGCTTCATCCTGAAGGTCGGCCGAGTGGCTCTTGTTGGTCGAGCAGGCTGACAGGTGGTGGTGGTGGTAGTATTGTTTAATCGCCGGCACGTCCCTGCATAGGGCAAAGGGCGTCCGCGTCAAGCTATATACATACCCCATCCTATCCTATCCCACCTTATCCTATATAGCTTAAGTAGATAGAAAGTAATCTAACCCTATTAAAAGTAAAAACCCCCTCTTCTATAGTATCCCTATAATATAATATAAATATAAGATATAGATATAGATATAGACTACTAAGTAGAATTATTACTTTATAGTTATAATATCTAAGTCTCCTAATAGTAGTACTACTTATATAGTCTTAACGCTAGGAGAATATAATCTAAGTTTTAGCGAATAGTAATACTAGTTAATCTATTAAGTAACTATCCTAATATATACTTACCTAGAAAGCTTATAAGTAAGGGGCCTATAAGAGGAAATACTACTTAGTAGCAGTAGAAGTATAGTTAGAGTACTAATAGGAAACCACTATATACTTAGGTATATAATAATACTCTAGCTATAAGGGCCTATCTACTAGATTATAACTAAATATAAGTAGTAGAGTAGCTACCTATACCTTAAAGGAGTCTAAAGCTTAGAGCATACTACGCTCTATATATTTAGTAATATTCTATTAAAGGTAGATATTAATATAGAAGGATAATTTAGTTAGGTACTTAATATACTTTAGTTACTTTATTCCTAATTATTCCTATATAAACTTTCCTTAGTTAAACTAAAGAACACCCTACCTATCTATTTTATAGTAATAGTAAGGGTATTTAGATATCTTTTAATACTTATAGGAATAAAAGATATTAGTATCTTTATAGAGGTATCTTTTATAATAGTTAGTAAAATTACTATAGTAACTTCTTATAGCTATTAGTTAGTATAGGTTAGCTCTTAAGAGTATTTTAAGCTCTACTATAGGTTTATTAGTAGCTAAAAGCTTTAAGGTATAATACTTATAAGAGCTTTTATAGCTCTACTAAATATCTAGCCTTATCTATTCTTTATAGTATACCCCTCTCTTAATATAGCTAAAAGTTAGGGGCTGCGTTATTAGGTTAAAGGACTTAATTTTTAAGCTATACTTAGTAAGCTAGTCTACTATCTTATTACTAAGGATATCCTTATAACTAGATATCTAATATACTAAGATAGGTACTATTACTTAGTTCTTTAGGACTATCTATCTAAAGTCTAAAATAGCTTCTTATAAAGACTTTAGAAAAGCACCTTCTAAATAGAATACTACTATAATATTATCTAAATAGATCGTAATAGCTATAATATCCTTATTAAGTAAATTAATAGTAACCTTTAAGCTAGCCTAAGCTCCTTCTATTTCTACGTTAAAGACCTCTACTTATAGAAGTCTCTAATAGCTAGTATAAATAAGCCTAAGGCCCCTATAAACTATATAGCTAAAGCTAGTTTATTCTAGCTTAAGTTATAACCTATTAGTATAAACTACTAGATAGGTGGGGGGTAATAATTCTACCTAAATTAGGTATACTTTAGCTACCTTATCCTTAGTCTCTAGTTAGTAAAGTAAATCTTAGAACCTATAGTCCCTTAGGTATAGCTATAAGTAGGGGAAAGCTAATATATCTTTTATAGCGCTAGTGAGGTTTATAGGGCGAATAGTATTACTTTAGTTCTATAGAAGTTTATACCTCTTAATCCTTATAATTAGTAGGTGCTTTTTATCTAGCTATCCTAACTATAGAGTATAGTAATCCCTAATAGATATAAAGATATATTTAACTAGTAGTATACTTAATTTTTATTATATAATATTAATTAGTGTTATTCTCTATATTAGGAGATAGCCTTAAATAGTAATATTAACTGTAACCTATAAGGCCTTAATAAGCTTATATAGTCTGTGAGAAACTAGCTTAAAGCCCCTGCCTTAGCTAGTATCTTCTTGCTTTTTACTTAGCCTCTTAAGGCCTAAATACTATATTTCTAAGCTAAATAGCACTTTTAGTAATATAATAATATATACTACTTTCCTTATAGTAGCTAGTAATACCTTAGAGTAAACCTTATTAAGGCCTTATATATACTTAGTAACCTTTTACATTTTAGCTACTTTTCCCTAAATATACTTAATAAAAATAAGCTTTAGGTTAAATATTATTCTAAGCTAAACTATAGTTTTAAATAGCTATACTTCTCTATCCCTATAGTAAATACTAAGTAGTAGCTTATCTTTAGGTTTTAGCTTAATCTAGTTAGTAAAATAGATAAGTTCTATCTTCTTTAGATCTAATACTATATAGTTTTCTTTCCCTTAGGTAATAATATTATTAAAGATCTTTTAGGTTTTTGCTATTAACTTTATAAGATTATCTCTAAAGTAGAGGATCCTACTATTATTAGTATAGTTAAATCTTATCTCTTTATCCTTAATCTAATATATTAGCTTAATATAGAGCAGATAAAGTATAAGGGAAGCTAGTGAGCTTTATAGTAACTTATAAAATAGCTTCTCTATTAGTATAATATAACCCTCATAGTATACTACTATTATCTAATTTAGTATAAGGTAGTAAACCTATTAAATAAAGTTAAGTAGCTAGCTTTATTCTCTAAATCTCTAATAGAGATAATTTTATAGGATTATATTAAATATACCTTTAATATTATTTATAATAAAAGTGCAGACCTAACCTCAGTTAAAGCCTATTATTATATTATATACTAACACCTTAATAATATCTATAGTAGAGCGTTAAAGTAGAGCTTTTATTATAGTAAGGTAGAGTATTTATTCTTCTATAATATAGTATACTACTTATTATATATAGAGCTTCTTAAATCCCTTATTAATAGTTAAAAGTAGTGAAATTAGCTGCTAGCTTTTTAGCGTAGAGGTATCTTAGTTTACTTTTAGGATTATTAAGACCTCTATAGTATACTATACTTTTAGGTGATAACTAATTATATAATAGGCTTAGTATAGTATAAGGATATAGTCTGAGATATATAGCTAGGCTGCCTATAGTATAACTATAGTGATACTATTAGCGTTTAAGGTAGTATTACCTACCTCTAGTATAGCGCTCTATACTTCCTATATATAGATCTTTAGGTCTATAATAATATTCTACTAAGGTACTATAGGGGTATAAAAGTTAATATTATCTTCTATTATATATATCTCTAGTAGTTTTATCTATAGGAATTATACTTTCTTAGTAGGTTTAGTAATATTATTTTCACTATTATATAGAGGAGGGGACTAAAACTAAGACTTAAGTTTATACTAGCTTATAATTTTATAGAGGTCTATATTACTATTAATCTCTTTAATTAGCTTAGCTTATATAGTAGACTTTGCTTTTTAAATAGCATAATTATAATATTTCTTAGCTCTATTAGTAGCTTCTAAGTTTAGATTCTACCTATATTTAGCTTTATACTTCTAGTTAGTTTTAATATATACTGCATTCTACTATATTATACCTTTCCTATTAGAGTAGTATCTCTTCTCTATAGTAAAGAGTGCTAACTATAATAAGGTATTAAGCTTTTCTATAGCCTTATTAAGGTCTTTTAGTATATTAAAAGCTTCTAGTAGTATCTATATGTTATTTACTACTTTAGTAGTGAATTTTAGTATATTATTAGGGCTAAGCTTAAGCCTACTTTTTGCTATAGGAGGGGCTTAACTTAGGTTACTCTAAGTAATAGGTATTATAAATACTAAGGTTAAATAGTTAGAATTAGTATGAAAATAGCTAGTAATTTTAGTTTTAGCTAATAATATATTAGAGAAGTAGAGATTAAGTATATTACTATACTAGTAGGTTAGTACCTTTAGTATATTAAGGAGGGTAATATTCTAACTTTTAATAAGTTTAGTTAGTAAAGTACCCCTTCTACTTATCTCTACTCCTAGCTACTATATATAGTATTTTGTATTAAAATCTCCCCCTATAAAGAGGCGTAATAATAGTAGCTAATCTAATAAAATATAGAAGATATAGAATTTATTAATATCCTAATATATATTAAAGTAATACACCTCTTAAAGCTTAACACTAAGGATATCTCAGTAAGGTCTTTAGGAGTTAAGTATAACTAAAAAAGGAGCTAATATAGTAATCCCCTTATAAATATAAGTTAAAACTTTAAGTTATATAGTAATTAAATCCTAAGTCTAAACTAATAAATATAAAGTATAAATAGAGTTAGTTTTAATAAGATTAAGTTTCTATTTAGTTATACACTAAAGTTCTTAAATAAGTATAATATTAAATTTATAATAGTTAATAAATATTAAAGTAATATTATATATAAGCCCTACCTTTACTATATTTACCTAGAATATAAAGTATATTCTATTTATAGTAGTATAATTAAGATCTAATTATTCACACTAAAATAATAACTTTAATAGTTTATTCTTAATATAAGTCTAAATTATCTTCAGACTCCCCTAAGTCTATTACTTTATTAATATCCCCTCCTTCTAAGATATCCCTTAAGATATCTTTAAGTAGGATCCTTATAGAATTAATTACTTATAGTGTAAACTCCTCTCTATTAGGGTTAAGAGTTATAGAGGATAGGTTATAACCCTTATCCTATATACCCTATAAAAAGCTTAAGTCTATCTATCTATATACTATATTTTTAGATACTATAATATTAAACTAATAGCTTACCTTATAAATATATTAGTATTAGCTTTATAACAGTTAAACTATAGCACTATCCTTCTATTAAGGGCGTAGTAGATAGTTCTTATTAGTTACCTTATATAGACTATTATAAGTCGTATATCATACTTTATTAATGCAGTCAGCTCTATATTCCTACCTACTATAATATTAGTAGCATAGTATATAGGTATATTCCTTAAATTTATACTACTTATAGCATACTTAGTATTACTTAAGTAGCAGCTTATAGTTAAAGTACTTAGTATAATATAAACTAAAGACTTAGAAAGCGTTAACCTTCTAGTAAAAAGTAACTATTTATATATATCGCTCCTTACCCCTAGTTAATAGCGCTATAAAAGTCTAAGATTTAATAAGTAGGTACTTAGTAGTATATTTAATCTTAGCTTAAATATAAGGTTTAAATAGTATTATACCTTTATAGTTTCTAATTATAGCTTTAACTCCTCGTAAAGTATATATAGCTTAAACTTTAAGTCCCTTAACACTTATTATATTAAAATATTTAAATAACTCAGTATAGTAAGTAAGTATAGCTATATATACTCTCTAAGATATTATAATAATTATAATACTAAAAGGTATCTAAGTTACTACTCTAACATCTAAATCCTAAATCTTACTAACTTATATAAATCTTATATAGATAAATATAAGCTTAATTAGGGGCTCCCTATAGCTATAGCCTACTAGAAGCTAAATAAAGACGTAAAGGTTATTAAGGTTAGCTAGTTATAGATTTCTAACTCCTAGTTATACCTTACTCTAACTATTTATAGTTCCTATATTATCTCTAAGTGTTCTTATAGTATTAGCTATTAGATAGCCTAAGGTCTTAAAGATAGCTCTAATATAACTAAGCTATCTAAAGCTTCTACTAAAAGTAGAGCCTCTATTACTATCTACTTAAGTCTTAATATCCCCTATAATAGTAGCACTATTAGTAATAAGATAAGTATAATCTTTATAGTTTACTCTATAGTAATATTTCTCTCTAATTATAGATAATAGTAATCTAGCATAATATTCTATAACCTCAGTATACTTAAGCTTAAGTTATTATAGTATGGTCTATATAGTATTAACTAAAGTAATAGTAATAATATTATAGCTTTTACTAATTTATTTAATTTTACTTAATTTATTAAGCATAGAATCTGCAGCTCTAATTAGCTCCTAAGTGCCTATACTATAATATATATTTAGCATAATATTTATTATTAGTCTATATAGTCTTAATAGCTAATTAGCTATCTAAGGCGTATCTTTAATATCTAGTATAACTAGTAATAAATCTAAATATCCTTAATTACTATAAGCTTATTTCTTTTAGGGTGATTTTGAAATTAACTTTTTAGGCGATTATAGGGGGGTTTAAGTATATTTAAGGTTTATCTAGATCAGATAAACCACATTAAATATAGCTTAAGAGGGTAGTAATAGTAGTAGTATTACGTAGTACGCTAGCGCTATAGCCTTAGCTGCAGCAGTTATTACGACGTCGGAAATTAGCCTTATTAACGAAATAGCAGCAGTAAGGTAGCCCGCACTAATAGTGCGTACTAAGAAAAATATTTAGGGGGAGAAGTTAAGCAGGCTGATAGGTATGCTAGCTAAGTACACCCTTTGTTGAGGTTCAGATTCATAAGGTCCTCAACTGTCAACATATGTTCTTGCCAATCCCTAGTGAGCAAGGAACTCTTTGAAGGATTTGACAGATGCGATTTCCCGTGGCCAGCAAAATGGAATATGGAACATTCTTCCAGTCCTCTGAGTACGTCTTTGCTGCATGGCTGTTCGAGTCTTGTTCTTTTCATTGTGGTAGGGAGAAGACTTTCCAGTTTTTCCACTTCATTTTTCGCAAATCTGAGATTGGAACATTCTGGCGTTGTCGTCATTGATACCAGGAGGGCATGATCAATCATGAGATTACGAGCCGTTCTGATTTGCCGACGAGCATGTAGCAGAGCTCTGACTGACGGACTGTAAGACGAAACTACCCTGTCAAGTGCTGTGTCTGTCGAAAAAGAGGCATGACGGCCTGCAGCATGCAGCGGTAGTGAGCTTAACTCGCCGGTTGGGATCCACCAGATTCGGGGCCAGTTGTTGTTCATGGGGAACTTCCGAAAGCCTAGTGTATCTAGGATCGGGCACACTGCGACGTCCCAGAGCCACTCTAGTATACTGAACATCTCATCTCTGGTTTTCTGATGCGATGGATAGTGGGAGCGAATCGATGTCAAGCTGTCGACCTTTCTTTTAACGTCAGGGTGGTGTAACTTGGGAAGTCGTATCGACCGAATGGTATCCGTCTCAATGAGGAATGCATCGCAGCGAAATCCGCTGGAATTAATGAGTACAATGGGCCCGTCAGATGCAGCAGCGTTCAGTTCCTCGACTGATGGAGGGAGGAGAAAGTGGCCGAAGTCAGGAAGCAGACGAATCTGACTAATGATCTCGTCAAGATCAATACTTGCCTGGTGGCGGTCATTTCTCCTTCGCATCGCGCTCAAAGAGTCGCCCCCAGCTTCAATATCAGACATATCTTTGTATGGAGAGTCCAGCATAACTCGAAGCTCTTCGAATCTTTTCGCCAATCGCGGGTGATGCTCTCGGAGCTCTGACACATCCGACCGCAACCCAGACCGGAGACCAATGATGATTCCTCTGCCCAACTCTAGCAGCTTCACAGCGTCAAGTGGCGGTCTTCCAGCTTCGAGAGCTAAAGATGCGGCCATCGTGACCACACCACTAAATTCGCTGAGCAGATGTTGCTGATCATGTTGACTCAGTTGACGAGAGGCGACTCTTGGTAGAAGGCTCACAGCGAGTTCTGTGATACGACTTGCTTCTTCCCATTTGCCTCTAGCAGGCAACATTGAGCCTGCCAACACCGCTGACCTTATTCGCAGAAGAGGTGGTGAATGAGACAGATTTGCGGCTTCAATACAGAGATTGATGGATTGGTCGAAAGCTGCCCACTCGCCGTTACTTTCGGATTTGAGAAAGAGTAAACCGGCCACTGCAACAAGCGCGGATTCTCTTTTTGCATGGTCGTCAGGTATTGTTCTTAGGGCTTCTTGGCCTAGTTCAATGGCCATTTCCAACCCTTCTAGTTGACCTGTCGTCTCAAACTTGACTCGAAGTAAGCTCGCTAAATTGGCCAACAGTAATCCTCTTTTCGCGTGTGACTTGTCAAGCAATTCTATGGCTGCCTCCATGTTTGAAATTGCTGATTGCAAGTCTTCCGGGTTGTTTGTCGTCTTGAACTTTAGCTCAAATGAAATGGCTAGGCTGTTCAACCTGTTTCCCAGTTCCTGGTGGCCGTCAGGTGTCATTGCTACAGCCTCTTCGCCACGAGCAATGGCCACACGCAGATCATTCAGGTTGCCTGTCCTTAGAAATCTCATCTGACGGGCATGGGCTCGACTTTTCAACCTGCTTGCTCTTTCTGGGCGATCAGGAGACGTCATCTGTAGGGCTTCTTCACCCCGTTTGATGGCCATGTCCAAGTCGCGAAGGTCCCCAACTCTGTCAAATCTCGCCTGGTGAGCATCGGAAAGAGTGTGCAATATAGTTGCTGTGGCCGGCTGTTGGTCCGAGGCCTTTTGCAATGCCTTTTCGCCTAGCGTGATGGCTGTCTGTAAATTGCCAGGGTCACCAGTTCGCTCAAAGCTGACTCGAAAAAGCAAGGCGAGATTGTTTAAAATAGACCATTTTCCCGCGTCGTCATCAGAAAACTCTGTTGCAGCCCTTTGGCCGAGTTGGAGAGCGAATCGTAAATTTTTCTTGTTGCCGGTCTGATCAAAGATGGCAAGATGCGTCATCGCGACCGTGTCCATGATAACCGGCCCCGTTGGGTCATCTTGCGGAACCGCTGCCAAAGCCTCCTCAGCGCATATAGCAGCCCTTCGTAGGTATGTAATGTCGCTTGTACTCCCATGCATAGTTCGAAGGGAAACTGTGAGATTGGCGAGTATAGTTGCTTTCTCCGGGCAGTTGGAAGGCATTGCTACCAAAGCATCCTCGCCTCGCTTGATGGCCATCTCCAGATTGTCAAGCTCTTGGGTTCTCTCAAACAACTTCCAAAATGAGACAGCGAGATTGTGCAGCCACACCCCTCTGTTAGGCTCAATATCGGGCATCGCTGCAAGAGCCTCTTCACTTCGTATAGTAGCTCTTCGCAAGTCGTCAAGATCACCCGACACCTCCAACTTCGCCTTTAGAAAGTGACAAAGATTGGTGAGTGCGGGAAGGCGAAATGAATCACCATCAGGTGTTGCTGCTAGAGCCTCTTCGCCTCGCGCGACAGCCATGTGCAAGTCGTCCAGGTTTCCCAAGTGTCGGAATCGGAAAAACAAGGAACGAGCCAGGTTGGTCAATATCTTTGGGTCGCTCGAGCAGGACGTTGTCGCTACAGCTTCCTCACATCGCATGATAGCCTTGTGCAAGTCATGGACGTCGCCTGTCTTCTCGAAGCTGGCATGGAGAAACTGCCCTGTGCAGCCTAGTGTGATTCCCCTGCCCGGATCGTTGGGAGACATTGCTGCCAGAGCCTCCTCGCATTGCTCGATAACTGTCTTCAAGGTTTCCAAATCATCCGTCTGCTCAAATTCCTCCCAAGAGCGAACAGCTTCTATTTGAAGTCGAGCCGCTCTATTCGATTCGTTGTAGGATATCATTACAGCTGCTTCCGGTTGCGACTTGTGAAGATTGTTTGCTGCCGGCTTGAAGCCTCCCTGATGAACAATGATAGCCTCTCTCATTGTTTAAGACCGTAGTAGCTTCGATATTGTCTGATTCCGCGTCGTGTATCAGCTACGTTCAGCCTCTGATTTCCTGCAATCAAAAGAGGAGGGGATGGATGCATAGACTCGCTTGTTCTTCAATAAAAGTCCTGGTTCACTCGCGCCTACTAACGTCCTAGCTACTCCCTATCCTTGAAATATGAACTTGTGGACACCCTCGCTAACGTCGGCTTCCAGCCTTGGCTCCATAGAGTTGGCAGCGGGGTGTGCATCAGGTGGCCTTAAGTCATCTAGCTTCCAGCGCCAGGCGCGCCTAGCCACAAAGTGGTGTAGCTGACCCCTTGCGTAAATGCAGGTTTTGGGCCTCAGGTCTGGGTTGACTTCCATCTCGCAGAATGAAATATGACGTGTCACCGCTTCAAGAACCTAATAGAGTGGGGTTTCAAGATAGCTTCAAATGGGAGTCTGGTGAAGACGAAGGCCATAGAAGGATTAGGCAGCAGCATGGCGTCTAAACAGGGTAAAGATCAGCCTGTCAGCAACGTAGGATCTAGCTACCACTTCGTTCGGCAAACGGAGGCTGACTCCGGTTTTTTTGGATTTTGTTTTCTTCCTTTACTCTTTTAGCTTGCAGTTGTTACGCAGTCCCGAAAGCAATTAGATAGAAGAGAAACGATATGTTCCGACACGCTATCAGGAGATATGCTCTTAGTGATTCAATTCAGCAGAATGCCTATGAGGCTCGATAGAAGTGGATCTCTCTAGTACCCAGGCGGCAAGCAGCCAGGTATGCAAATGCATTGAGAAATGTCTATGTAACCCACTTATGCGGCGGTCACGATCCTGGTGATATGTGACAATAGTGCTCCTCCATATTTCACCCGAGCATTACCGCGACAGTCAGCCTCAGAACACAAGTGGACATCTTTGAATCGCTTTCAGCTTCATAGGAACGGGTCTAATGCAGGATCATTCAGCTTTTGTCAATTCATTTCCATCAAAAGCGTGGGGAAATTTGGGGGGGGGGGGGGGGGGGGGGGGGGGGAAAAAAAANTTGGGGGGGGGGGGGGGTAGGAGGCGGACGGAAAAAGAACTGTTGCGAAGCCATTCCTCCGTGACATAGTTTCACGGTGTGTCTTCTGGTTGAAACACTGGTCTGATTTACAAAGGTCTGTTTCATTAAACACAGAAACAAGGTCAGAAACTTTGATAGCTCTCGCCAGCCCTCTCACCAAGCAGATGGCCCTAGTCTACATTGATTGAACAACACCTTGTGCTATCCGGACCGTCGTTACATGTTGTGCCATCGATGTCCAGCCTGTTCTGTTGCTTCCTTGGACTCGAATGTTCCTGCCGTTAGGAGACTCTTTTTGTTGAATCTCAAGCAGATTCTGTAGAACCGGGTTGTCCGCCGGAAGAGAGGGAAGACAGATGTCATCCCAAGCCACGGCAGGGTCATCCCCATTTGAAGTGAACATCATGAACAGATCCTTCACCCGCGGGGGATCATCGGCACCACCCGATGGTGGAATTTCCATGATGAAGGACGACTTGTTGAATTCATCAAGGACGTAATTTCCTGTCGCTTTCAAAGCTGCCAACCCTGACATTGGAACAGGATCAATTTTGACAATACCCCAAGACGGAGTAAAGCAGGACGCTGAAACCCAGGCCTCTGCTCTGGAAAATCCGCGGTATGACACCGACAACTCAACTTCTACGAAGGCCATGAATTTTGACCAAATCCTGAATCCAAACACCCAAGTGATAGCCCGTCAGGTAAGGGTTTCCTCTGAGGACGTCTGTCATCACCAATGCCATCCCATGTAGCGGATCGCCGTCATCGTCACCGCCCAAAAAGTCCCCAGGCCCGAGCTGCTTTCGTCGTACACCATGGCCCGAAAAGTCGAAGCTTCTGCACAAACTAGTCTCAGCTTGAAGTAATGAGCGGGGAACTGAGGCGCATCAGCTGCATTGTGACGTGGCCAATGTTGATTTCGTGATGCCTCATCTTCAGATGGAGTGGGTAAAAGCTTGGCCACTCACGGGGCTTCGAATAGCTTTCCGCATACTCAGCCATATCTGTGCTCATGAAGGATGGGAGTCAGTGAGTTGAACATCGGTCGAATGAGTCTTCCCTGTAATTGAGATGGTGCGGTGGACATTTTCCGATAACGAGGCCATTTTGCAATAATGTACGCATCGTCATGTCTGAACTGGGGGAGAATGTCTTGCTTGATGTGATTAGGCTCTTGCGTAAGAGATATGACGAACATCACCCGGGCACCTGCAGGTGATGGTTAGTTCTATTATTATTATTATCAATCTAACTCTAACGATAAAGCTAGGTCTAGCTTGCTCCTAAGAGCATTTCTTCTAAGAAACTATACTTCCTGGACAACCTCGACCTGCGGGCCTTCGATCTTCTTCACCTTCCGGCCTTCCCACCACGACATGACGCCTGCCATCATAGCGACACCGCAGCCAAGTCCGATAAAGGTGCCAGTGGCCCATGACTGCAACGGTGGTTAGTTCACTTGGCTTTCGTGGAGACATTTCAGACACATTGCAGTTGAGCTTGCGAAGCTGTTTGGGAAACACTCACGGGACGGTCGATGCGGTTGTAACCCCACATGAAGTAGCATAACACAGCTTGCAGCAGCGTGTTGAGCACCATCATCCAGATCGTGAACCCAAGCTTCCAAAGTGCCGTCGGTGGCGCCGTCTGGTTCGTAAAAGTCGGCGTGCGGCCCTTCTCGTCCTCGAAAGTCCACGCTGGTGGTCGAAACCAGCCTTTATTTTGCGCCGCTAGCCTTCGCATGGCTTCGCGATCCTTGAAATTTGTCGCACGGATGAACCAATACAAGTCTCGAAAACGCCATGGCGCAAGACCAAAGCCCGTAACGCAGAAGAGGGCGTTGAGGATCTGACTGTCGATCTCCAGCCATTTTTTGCGGGGTGAGTTATTGTCGTCGGCGGAAGGGTAGTTCATTGCGGGTGCGGCGTTGATGAGGAGGAAGAAGAGCATAGCCTATGAGTTGTGAGTGAGTTGCGATGAGATTGAACTGTGTGCGTAAAACGTACGCCCCAAGCCTATGAGCGAGTTAGCCGACTGCATTGATGAGAAGATGACGTGAGAACGTACCACGATATTCAGGCAGTAGATTGTGATGATGAATCCCGATGGTGTCAAGAAAAACTTCCAAAACGCCTTCAAGCCATTGACGACGGTCGTTTGCCATGGGGCCTTCTCCTTGGCCATGTGCTTCTCATACAGACTTTGGCGCCTTTGAAATTGCTGCCTTGGGTCAGGGCTGCCGTCAGCTTGGTTATCCCCCATGAGAACCCTCGCCTCGTCGGCCTCTCCCTCATGTCTCTCATCTGGCTTATCACCATCCTTGAAAACACTTTTGAATGCAGGCTGTCCCTCGGTGGCGATAGACCCGGTCCTTGTTGATGACCTCACAAGGGCAAGCTCGCCGTCGCGCTCCTGTCTCGCGAAACGGGCTGAGTGGCCCTGGGAATTGAAAGCGATGTTATCGCCGCCTGAGTCTTCGTCGCGCAGTTCAGTGAGGTTCGGCGCCTGAGCGATGGCAGTTCCAGCAGCCTGCCACATTCCGAGCTGAGGATTGGCATTCATGATGGAAAGCGAAGCGCCCCGGACGCGGCCGACGATGCCGTCGTTGGCGGCGGGTGGATCGGCCATTGCGGACGGCGGCTTGTGGTGAGGTGGTGTGTTTCAATGCAATGCGTCGGCGATTGTCAATGCTGTGCCACTCGTAACTTCCTGCTATGGATGATGCTCAATCGATAGGTACTAGGAATCGCGTAGGGTGATGAAGTGAAGTCGGCGAGGACGGGAAAGGAGATTCTTTTGATGCGGCCGGCGTGGAAGTGGGAAAACTTTAATTAGGTGCCTGACGAGGTGACGGAAGCGGAAGGGGTGATGGCTGTGAGACCCTGCCTTTTGATGGTTTAGCGCCTTGGCGATCCCTGCCGTCACCAGATACGCGGACAAGTACGACGGCCTTTACGCGGGAAGGTGCGAGTCTTCCGACCCCGATGGACCTGCCGAGACTGCCCTGTTTTGTGTCCGGTTCTCCCGAGGTCATTCCGAAGAGCCTCCGTCATTGACATCACCTGCAGTAACTTGCATGCAATTTTCGGGATCTCTGGATGAGTCTAGAAAAATCCGGGAACAAGCAGTTTCTTCGGCCTTTTGCGAGCGATACGGATGCGGATGCGGATGCGGATGCGGAGACCTTCCAGGGTCCGGACGGCAATGCGCTACTCGAGTCATCCCTCAGCCCTTTTAATGGAACCAATCTCACTGTCACCGGCACACTTCTCGGCGAAAGCGAGGGGACCCCCCACACTAACATGCGAAGCGTTCGTAAATACCAATTATTCGGGAAAATATCTGTAGGCCAGCGTAGATCATAACAAACGAGATTTCCAACCTCAACAAACAACCTTAAATTTAAGACTTTTTACCGCGGAAAGAACTGCGGACATGGATCTCCACAGCCACCGAGACTCAGGTTCGCCCGAATGGGGCTAATGCGTAGGTAAACTACGTGACGCTCCAGACATAAATCGTCTTATGCCCGCCAGCTCCACCGTGCAGCATAATAAGATCCAACGAATAACAATTATGAGAAATTAAAAGCGTACAGCAAAGCCAAAAATGAGATAATGGTATCTATGAGAGAAAAATGAAAAAGGGCTAAAAGTTAGGAGAGAATAATAAGAGCGAGAATTACAGCTGCTTGGCTACAAAGAACTATCCCGGCAGCGTACAAACAACAGTGTAGGACTTTATATCCTATGTGTCTGGAGAAAACAAAAAGTGATAAATGCCTGCTTAATGCTCGTTCAACTCGCTCTATCCAGCGGCACACTATCAGAATCATCTAAAGCAAGAGTGGGAACGACTTGATAGTCCCCAGGAATATGTCCTTCCAAGCCCTTTGTCATTCCAGCTAGCACTAGCATCAGTAACCACAATATCAAAGTCACTATATCTGAGGAAAAGAAAGACTTACTAAAGAGGGTGTAAAAAAAGTCCATAAACACAGGGACCCAAGTAGTTAAGGCTAATATTTGGCCAAAGCTCCACTCAAGTTGGGGATCATCATCAGCGCCTTGATTGATAGTCTTGTCTCGGAAGATGTAGTACACCGCAAATGCAGTCCACATGGTAGCAAAAAGGACTAAGTGGATCAAGAGAAGCATGACCAACGTCCCTCGATTAATTGGAGGCGTTTTTCCTGATTTCTCTCGGTAACGCATGACGCAGACCGTGACGGCAGAAATGACCATGAGCAGACCAAGTACCACAATCGCAGTAAACATGAAAAAGTTGGCCATATGAATATAGTTCCTATCAAAGTTCAGGATCAAATCAAGTTCATTACCTAGATGTGAGCTCCAGGTCATGGAGACCGCCACAAGAGGCACTAGAAGCACACCAAGACATGGTATTATAGCGACGTCTAGCAACCGTCTTCGTCGGCCTGGAATTTGAAGCATCAAACCGCTTATCCAGGGCGGTAAAGTGCTCAGAATCGATGCTAGGGTTGCAACACGAGTGTCAAATAGGTTGAGCGGCCCACCAAGTCTCCAGTGGGCTATTGCGTCGTCCTGTGCATTGCCAGATGCACCAAATACAGTACGATAAGATGCAACTGTAACTCCGAAACTGAGGAGCACAGAGCTCCAGTAGAAGGTTGGCAATACGGCTCTGAAAGCATCGAGAGCCCGATGAGAGGTTGTCGGCGTTCGAAGACGGCGCGATCGGAAATAGGCCACCCAAAACGCAAGAAGGAAGGCTGTTACGAGGAACGTTTCGATCCAGAAGGTTACGATTACCTGTCAAAAGCTTATCAGTTTTATTTCTGCGCAATGCATCAGTGTAGCTTACGCCTATTCCCGCAATGTCGGCGTTTCCTTGAATTTGAAGCTCGGAGCGCAATGCTGCAATGCAAGGCATATTGTTCAGCTTATTGAATTCTCCTGAAACCGTGTTTGCGAAATCGAGTGATGTTTCGCAGGATTCGGTGCGGCATCCGGAGCGGGCGTCATAATTGCAGGTGAGCATGTACCATGACATGATCTGCTCTTGCCGCGCCTCAGATTCATTGAAAGATCTCGCTTCGTTGCGAAGAAGAGACAATACGAAGGAATGTAAGGCGCTAGTCTCAACAGCACAGAGGTTTTGAAATCCCCCCTCCCTGTCTGTTGTCCGTACGATAGTGTGCGCGAATCGGGCAAATGAGGTGCAGTTTTTGCTTAAATCCAGTGGCCGATCCCATGTAGGTCGATCCCACGTAGGTACCCATGCGACCGTGCTATTACTAGGTGTCGCCATGATAGTCGTATCCTTGCTAAGTAAGTGCTTCAATAAGATAAGTCGAGTCTCGGCTCCTTATTGATCAACAGGCCGATGCCATACTGGGTTCGTGGTTTGAGCATGCACAGTGACCTGTAAGAAGTGTCGATCAAGGACGTGGATCTAAAATCAAGTTGCGGTAAGGTCGCTCACTATTTGAAGGAAGATTTCACATGAGCTCTGGCGTGCTTTCAGAAAAGCTGCTATGTTGGCCTTCTGAGGGAAGTTGTCCAATGAGCCGACGTGATGGCTCATTTGTCATGCACCAACTGTGGCACAGCCATTCTTGGCACATCGTGTCCGCGCCTGCTAAGTAGCTATTCGCAGTACTCAATCTGTAATATCCCAAGGTTGCCTGAAATAAGCCTTACGTACAGCCGACGAGAACGCCTTATCGTCTCAGTCCATCACGTTTCGTCAGAACCGCATGGATTCAAAAGCGGGAATTCAATGGAAGGGGGGTGTTATGGAAACACGGGTGTAAACTGCCATGAAGTGAAATAGTACGAAATAGTTAGGTGAACGAGCAAAATCTTACAGCTATCACTCTTTAGCCCACTGTTCACCATTCCAGAGCTTTCCCATGGTCCACAGCCAATAGTCGCGGCCCTTGATCAGCCACACCAGGAACCCAGGCAGGCGCCATCCCATCGCCGCGCCGACGCCTTTACTTTTCCCAATCGGCACCATCTGCGTTTCTCTTAGATCTTCTTTGAACACCCGGTCATCTCTGATCGCCACATTTGGCTTCCCCGAAACAAGCAACAGGTCCCGCTTGAGGTTGGCGCAAAGGACCGGGACCGCGCCGAGGATATTGTGGACCGCCGGCCGAGCATACGACGACACATCCCCGATGGCGTAGACGCGCGGCCCCGCTTTGTCAACACGGAGAGTTGACGGGTTTGTCTCGACGCGCCTATCAGAGGTGAGTAGCGAGGGATTGATGAACGAGGTGTTTGGGCGAGTGCCTGTTGCTGGGATGTACAGGTCCGCGCTGAGAGTCTGGCCATTTGAAAGGTTGATGGTCGCAGACATTGCGACGTCCTCAACTCCCGCTTCGTTTGGGATAACACCATTAACGCGAGTGTTCTTGATCACAGTAACGCCGACTTGTGCCAAATATTGCTCAGCCTTCTCGGCAAGTGACGGGCGCAACGCAGGGAGAATCTTGGATCCGGCTGTGACTAGCGTGATAGCCACCTTTGGCTTCTCTGATGTCGAATTGAAGAGGCCCGCTCGACCGTTGAGGTACTCCCCCAGCTCTCCTGCAGTTTCGACTCCAGCTGGGCCGCCCCCTGCAATGACGATAGTCTTCGCTTGCGGTAGAGCCTTGCGAAAGTCCTCCCAGCTCTGCCGCAGACCCTCGTGGCTGCTGTTGAGTCCTAGGAGAGGAGAAGATGTAGATGCACCCGTCGCAATGACCAAACCGTCGAAGTCAAGTATCTCGATAACTTTGCCCCTAGCCAAGGAGACAGAAACAGTGCGGTTGACGTGATCCAGTGCCGTTGCAGTCCCGCAGATAAAATGAAACCTGTCAGCAGGATACTGCTCAAAAGCTGTTGTGATGTCGACGAATAGCTTGTCCTGGGGAAACATGTCGTCCGATATCAAGGCGCGCGGACATGCGGGACGGCACATGACATGGGATGAACTACTGACGAGGACGACCTGGTAGCCTTCCTCGACCGGCAAATGCGGAATAGCATGTCTGAGAAGATAATGAGCCGTTGAGACGCCGCCGTATGAGCCGCCGAGAATGACTATATTCTTCTTGAGCGGGTTGCCGTTTTGAGACATCTTCAACTCTGCCAAAAATTGGATGCAGTTGCTGGAATGACGGGGTTTTTTTTATGAATTGGTGGAATGAAGCGTTCACAAAACTGCTGACCCAAACAATTGTAATCCAATGTTCCCAAAGAGACCCTTCCTATTTGTACTACTCTTTAATATTCTCTGCGGACCAATTCGGACGGATGAGGGTATCATCGTGGTGAAGGATTGCTGATGTGGCTTGCGCCACCGTCATGATTCGGCCGAGCTCCGGACGAAAAGACATCACTACATGTTCTATCATTGTCGACTACTGGACTGTGACAAGAAATTACAGCTCATTCTCGAGAACTTATCATCTGGTCTAGATTGTTGGTGTTACTATTGGCTGTGTATTCCGGCATTTGAGGTTTGGAGACAAGTGGAGCAAGTTAGTGGGGGATATCGTTAATACCAGTTTAACTTACATCAGTGATCTGAATTGAGTTGTTACCTCGTGAATGATGGCGTTGTTAGTCAAAGAGCGCTCGAAGGGTGGTCGTTGTCAAGGTCATGCGGTTGACAGCGAAAAGTTAGATACTAAGGTAGAATAAGGTAGATGTTCTTTTAACCAGCGGATATATCCAGGTCTGACTGTTAGACGCATTCAATTTCACACTATTACAGCATATAAATAACACCTACCGCCAACCCTTCTTCAACCGAAGGATAATGAATTGTGACCAACGCCAAGAAACCCATCCAGTGCTTGCTGCTGTGCCGCCATAATACAGATACCACAAGACCGCGTTCCAACAGAGATCCTTGCCTGATGCTTGGTGTTTGCCAAGGGCATACTAATTGAAAGTTGGTATGCCGCCAACGTGTATGAATGAGCATGTCTCCTCATCCTCCTCATTCCATCTCCTCGGCTGTTCACCGGTCCGAAACATCGCCAGTGTTTGCTCATTCAATCAATCGCTCAACAGCTTCACGGGATACTACCATGCATCGCCGGCCGGTCGCGTATCCAGGCGGACCTACTCACCCCCCGGCCAATCCAACCCGTTGCGGTGTCGCTCGGGCGCATCCTCCTCCCGACCCCGACCACACGTCTCCCAACGCCCCGCGCTTCGAGATTGTCACAACGCATATTCACGTCTTCGGCTACCCTACAGACCAAGGTGACGGGGTGAACGTCGTAGCCCTCGAGGACGTCTCGGCGATCGATCTCGCCTTTCTCTCTCTCCCATACGAGCCTCTGAACAACTCAATATGGGAAGCCTCACACAAAGACCCGTTTTACCCTCGTCCGGCCGTTTACTTGCGTTTCAGCGACCCCGTGCGACTCCCAGACCAAGATGCCGAGAACAAGTTCTGCAGGCGTTTGCTCCGTCTCGGGGCGCGACGGTGGGAGTCTCTTGACCGATTCAGGTTCGTGCTAGGAGCTATCAACTACGACGATCTTGTCATCGACGAGATAGAGGGCGGGTTCGCCTCGGTGCCGACGTCTGAAGAGCGCCGCTGGGTGTCGGTGGCGTGGCCTGTTGGGGGCGGTGTCTGCATTGCTGAGATACCGCGGCGGCTGCCTGACTTTGGGGAGCATGAGGAGTTTTCTGCCAGGCAAAATCTGATCTTGGAGGGTAGGTCGATCTTGAGGATGGCGCGGAACATGGATGAGAAGGCGAGTATGTTGATGGAGACTTTTGAGGGGAAGATGTATGAGAATGTGGATGAAGTAGATAGTCGGGTCATTAGAATTTCGGATCTCAAAGAGTTCCAGAAGTCTTCCGCAGCTGGAGAGAAGGAAGTTGGTCATACGGGGTTGAGTGCATTGTCTCTTGACGATAGTTCGGCGAAGTGAAATCCTTACTGACTATTGCTGCATTCATTACGTCTTACACTCACTGAGCCATAAGTTGAGAATACCTAGGTAGTTAGTGAGCTAGAAGTCACTGTCTCTGACTCTTTGCCGTCTCTCCATCGTTGCCCTCTGAGTCCTCAAGGTGACTGTCCATTCTCCTTTACCTGCAGGTCCTGGTCGCTTATAGTTGTCTTGATACATTTTCCGAGGAACATCAAGTTCTGAACGGTAGCTTAAGGTCGTTGGCCTTGTTTCTCGTGTTGTCAACATTACGCCAAGTTTTGAGCCCAAGCGTTCAATGACTGAGACTCGTTCAAACGGCAGCGGGCCGGTCTTGAGACTGCGTGAGTCTGGACCCTCCGAAACTTGGACTGTAAAGTCTGAGCCAAGTTGACAACTGGGGAATTAACAAAAGTTGCCAGGATCATGACAGTCAAGAAAAAGCTCTCGCCCACGTGTCTCAGTTCAGTCGGCGACTCGGGGAACGCCGAGGGGGGCGTGGCTCGTCAAGGTAGCGGGCGATGAGGTAATGGGAACCCGCTGCTGCGCTCCCTTTGGAGGGGCAACGGTTCAGAAAAAATTCCTTTGCCCGCTAGGGGGTGGCGGCGGTGTGGAGTTTCGGTGCTGGGGCCCCTGTCTTGCGCCGGGCGTCAGCGCTGTTGCGCGCTGCACTGAAGCGGCAGGTGGCAGACTGGCCGCTGGTAGGCAGGTCGAGCCACGGCGGTTGAGGCAGGTGGGCGGATATCTTCGGCGTTGGCGGGGTCATTTTTCATTCTCGCACCATCCCACCACAAGGATTGCGTTTCTCTTTTTGGCTTCGTCAGACCTACGTCCGTGGGCTGAGAAAGTATTCTTCTTTTTCTTTTCTACCTCTCTCTCTCTGTTGCGACTTTCTCTCTTTCAAACCCCAAATAAACATTCCGAATACCCACGATCCCTCAATCCGCAATCATGGGCGACATCAAGTCCATCAACGCCACCAGAGTGGCCGTCACCGCCCAGTCGGCGACTGAGCTGATTGGCAACACGCCGCTCGTTCGTCTGAACAAGATCCCCCAGAGCTTGGGCATCGAGGCCGAGGTGTACGCCAAGGTCGAGCTCTTCAACGCCGGCGGCAGCGTCAAGGACAGAATAGCCCTGCGCATGATCGAGGAGGCCGAGAAGAGCGGCCGCATCAAGCCCGGCGACACACTCATCGAGCCCACCAGCGGCAACACGTACGTTTGCGCAGCATTGCCTCCCTTACCGACGAAGCTAACACATTCCTCTCCAGTGGTATCGGCCTGGCGCTCGTCGGCGCGATCAAGGGCTACAAGACCATCATCACCCTCCCCGAGAAGATGTCCGCCGAGAAAGTCTCCGTCCTCAAGGCCCTCGGCGCCACCATCATCCGCACCCCGACCCAGGCCGCCTGGGACAGCCCCGAGTCGCACATCGGCGTCGCCCGCCGCCTCGAGAAGGAGATCCCCAACGCCCACATCCTCGACCAGTACGGCAACCTCGACAACCCGCTCGCCCACGAGTACGGCACCGCCGAGGAGATCTGGAACCAGACCAACGGCGCCATCACCGCCGTCGTCGCTGGCGCCGGCACCGGCGGCACCATCACCGGCATCGCCCGCGGCCTCAAGAAGCACAACAAGAACATCAAGGTCGTCGCAGCAGACCCCCACGGCAGCATCCTCGCGCTCCCCGAGGCGCTCAACAAGGAGCACGAGAACGAGGGCTACAAGGTCGAGGGCATCGGCTACGACTTTATCCCCGATGTGCTGGACCGCGAGATCGTCGACAAGTGGTACAAGACCGAGGATCGCGAGTCGTTCCAGCTCGCGCGCCGCCTGATTGCCGAGGAGGGCCTGTTGGTTGGCGGCAGCTCCGGCTCAGCGATGGCGGCCATGGTCCGCGCCGTCAAGGACCTCGGCCTCGGCAAGGGCGACACCGTCGTCGTCGTGCTGCCCGACAGCATCCGCAGCTACCTCTCCAAGTTTGCCGACGACGACTGGCTGGCCGCGAACGACCTGCTTCCCGAGATCAACGGCCTCGAGACGCAGGCCTCGTCGAACAAGTCCGAGACGACGGACCCCTACCACGGCGCGACGATCCGCGCGCTGCGCCTGAAGCCCGTCATGTCCGTCTCCGCGTCCAGCCCCGTCTCCGAGGCGTCCGAGATCATGCGCGACAAGGGCTTCGACCAGCTCCCCGTGCTGTCTGCGAGCGGTAACAAGCTTGTTGGCCTGGTCACGCTCGGCAACCTGCTCAGCTACGTCTCCTCGGGCCGCGCGTCCGCGAGCAGCCCCGTCAGCGACGTCATGTTCGACTTTGGCCGTCTGGACGAGGTTGTCACGGATCCCAGACAGATCGCCGGCGGCGAGGCCAAGGAGAAGGGCAAGAAGCGCAAGTTTGTCGAGATCACGCTCGACACGCCGCTGTCGACGCTCAGCAAGTTCCTCGAGTGGAACAGTGCCGCGGTTGTTACCGAGAAGAGCGAGGGCAGCAAGGCGCTGTCGAAGCCTGTGGCGGTTGTTACCAAGGTTGACCTGCTCACCTGGGTTGTGAACAAGAAGGCGTAGATGTTATCTTTTTCCCCTTCATGATGATGAACTGGATTTGATAGAGTGGGGCAAAAGATACACGAGGAGGGATGATGGGATTTTGTTTTTATTAACGGCGTTTGGAAGCGAGCATCGCAGTGGCAGGGGCGAATCTTGGGTCGCATCAACTGACCCCGGTTTGGCAGCATTGGCTTGGAAGTCTCGGATGGGTAGACTCAACATCTACATAGAACAGGGCAGCCTGATCAATGGATAGAATAACAGAATGCGCATTTTTTGAACCCGGCCTTTTTTTGCTCCCCATCATGCTTGTCACATTTTTGAAAGACGTTGCTTTTGCTCAAATCATGTAATTGTATTATTATGTGCCTCTCTCGGCGATGATTATTATACCCGCTCGGCGATCCATGACCACCACTTATCGGCTCCGGGACCGCTTCCAGACACGTTGCCCGCAACAACGTCGACCTCAACATCGAACTCGCGCAGCTGGTCAAAGGTGAACTTCTCGGTGCCGTATGCGCCCAGCCAGTCGTCGTGCTCCTCAGAGCCAATGTCATCGATACCAACGCCAGAATCTAACAGGCCCTTGCTACGCGAAGCGCGGATGCGGGTGATCTCAGCCTCCAGACTCGTCTTGACCAGCGCGCCCGGCAGCGCAGTGAAGAGGTCGACCTTGTTCGCGGCCACCAGGACGGGGATCGGCGCAGGGGGCTTGGATGTCTTGCTCGAGGAGGCGCGCTTCTGCAGACCAAGCAGCACGTCGTAGAGGTAGCTGGCAGACGGGGCGAGGACGTCCTGCTCGCTGATGGCGGCGGCGTCGACCATGTAGACGATGGACTTGAGCTTGGACTTGTCGTTGGCACTGCCGGCGAGCTTCGCCATGGCGAAGTTGCGCAGCTTGCCGTAGCCGGGGGTGTCGACGAGGAGGAACTTTGTGTGGGTGCCGCTGGTGTCGTCGTGGTTGCGGAAGCTGGTCTTGGTCTTGCTGTCGCGGGAGGCCGTGAGCTCGACGGTCTTTGGGCGCTGGCTGGTGTGGGTCGCCGCGGGGATGTCGCCGCGCTCGAAGAGGGTGAGGAGGGCGGTCTTGCCCGCACCGGAGGGCCCGAGAAGGAGCACAGAGGGGAGGGTGGTGTAGGGCGTCGACTTGACGAGGATGAAGTGCAGCAGGATGGGGAAGAGGAGGACGATGGCGACGCCGATAAGGATGACGGGGGCGGAGGGCGTCATGATGTGTTCGAAGAACTCGACGAAGGAGCCCGTGTTGGCTGCCATGGTTGCGGTCGTTTGGCCTCTGGGGACAGGAGGCGTGGGATGGGGTCGTATCGAGTACGAGGCGCGCGAACGGCCGACTGTTGGGGGAAAATTGACGATGTTTTAGTCGTGGTCGTTGACAGATTTCCAGAAGGAATCGCGTGCCAATGCCATGCCGTCAGTGGAGTGGAAGGCGTCTGTCTGGTGGAGCTGTCTCTTTTCCCCTTTTGGGTTAGACCCGTTGAGCTGTCTTCTCCAGCCACACTTGCGCGCCTGAGGGACGAGGCTGAGGGTGGCCGAGGGACCCGACCAACCAGGGGCCTCATGCGTGACCGATGCCAAGCTTTGGGGCGCTGTCACCCTGCCATCCAATCACGGCTACGACGGCAGGTAACGGGTGGGTCGCCTCCTTTGTCAGCTCAGCCTCGCTAGTCCGATTTAGGGGGAGGGTCCCCGGCGATCTCCTTCTGACCTCTTTCTTAGTGGAAAGCGCCCCCAGTCTTCAACGCTGCTGCCGAGTGAAGTGCTGCTGGAGCTGACGACACGCAATTTCGTCCCCTTGGCTTCGGTGCCTTTTCCGCTCCGTCGTTTCTTTTCGCCTCGACCGTGTGCGTCTTGTGTTGTGTCTCTTTTTATTCCCACCTTCGAGACCCCTGGCCTTGTATCTTTTTTTTTACTACCGTCGTCGCCTGGACCATCAACCTTAACGAGCAATGCGACGCTAAGATCGATCCGAAAAGCTTCCGTCTGCCGCATAGATACCTGCCCCGTCCTCCCGTCGCATTAAACAGCGTCCACTCCTTCGATAATCTCCCCGTCCTTCCGAGCCCACAACCACACAATCGCGCCAAGCTTGGCCCCCGACCTCGATGGACAAGTCAACGACACCAGGAGGCGGCGCCGCAGCTGCCTCTGTCGCCCCGAACCAGCCCGCCAACAAGACCAGTGCCGTCGCGCCAACATTAAACAACGAGGTCGAGATGGGAAACATGGGCGGCGATGCGCCAAACGCGGAGAACGACATCATGCAGATTGCCAGAGTCGGAGACGTCCCAGCCATGGAGAAGCTCTTTGAGGCCGGCGAGTACGATGCGACTTTCTCAGACGACGAGGGCATCACCCCCCTCCATGTACGTTTCCATGCAGCCTCCCAGCGTCCACTCTTTGTACCACCTTTGACCGCATCACATGGCGCTAACGGCTCCTAGTGGGCAGCAATCAACAACCAGTATGCCATGTGCAAGTTTCTCATCGACAATGGCGCCGAGATCAACAGGAAGGGCGGAGAGTCAGTAGCCACTCCCCTCCAGTGGGCCGCCCAGAGATGTCACTACTACACCGTCAACCTCCTCCTCCAGCACGGCGCTGACCCCCTCATCACCGACGCCCAGGGCTACAACACCCTCCACATCTCGACTTTCAACGGCAACACCCTCCTGCTCGTCCTCCTTCTCCACCAGGGCATCCCCGTCGACGTCCTCGACAGCTACGGGCACACGGCCTTGATGTGGTCTGCCTACAAGGGCTTCCCGCAATGCGTCGACCTCTTCCTCCGCTGGGGCGCCAGCGTCCACACCACCGACGAACAGGGCTTTACCGCGCTGCATTGGGCACTCGTCAAGGGCTCGCCCGCGTGTATACAGAGACTGCTCGAGTACGGCGCCGACCGATTCGCGAAGACGCAGACTGGCAAGACGCCTGCCGTGACGGCGAAGGAGCTTAACACGACCAACGCGTGGCACCGCGCCTTGAAGGAGTGTGGGTACGACGAGGACGCGCAGCCGATCGAGCCGCATTTCCCTGGTGCGCGCTTCCTCCGCCAGGATAAGAGGGGATTCGTCACCAAGTTCCTGTTCCTCTGGCCGTTCGTGCTGGTGTGGTCTATCATCACCATACTGGGGAGCATGCCAGTGTATGCGGGCGTGTTCTTCGCGGTGATCGTGGGATACAGCATCCAATGGTGCGCGCAACAGGTCATTGAGTTTGCGCCGCCTGATATGAAGCACTTCCATAAGACTGTGAGTATCTTTGGTCTCTTATGCGAGATTAATGCTGACGATTGTAGCCCTGGTTGGCAGGTATCTTTGCCGCTTCCGTGTTCTGGACTGGCCTCAGATGGCTGACGACCGTCTTGCCTGGCACCACTGGATCTGCCGCCACTCAGTCGCACTGGTGGTTGAACTTGCTCTTTGGGACTTTCCTCGGCCTTACTGCCTACTTCTATGCCGCCGCTATGCGCTACGACCCCGGCTTCGTCCCCAAGATGAACGGCATCGCCGAGCAGAAGGCCGTCATTGATGAGCTGCTTAAGCTGTGGAAGTTTGACGAGTCCAACTTCTGTGTTACGTGCATGATCAGGACCCCTCTCCGCAGCAAGCACTGCAAGCGTTGCCAAAAGTGTGTCGCGAAGCACGACCAGTGAGTTTATCCAAACGTCTCATAGTAAAACTGCTTACTGACTTCCTTAGTCACTGCCCTTGGGTCTACAATTGTGTTGGCGTCAACAACCACCGCCACTTCTTCTTGTACCTCATCAGCTTGACTTTGGGCATCATCTCCTTTGACTTCCTTGTCTACTACTGTAAGTGGCTCATGCCTCACTCTCAGATCCGCCATCTAACTGTCGCTCAGACCTTTCCGACATCTCAGCCAAGGCTTCCGATAGCTGCAACTTCCTCAGCCCTGGTCTCTGCAAGGTCGTCAACGCCGATGGCTACACCGCGATCCTCACCGTCTGGGTCTCCCTCCAACTCACCTGGGTCGGCATGCTGCTCTTCGTTCAGTTCGTCCAAGTCTCCCGCGCGATGACTACCTACGAGAACATGTTCGGTATTCAGGACGGCTCTGTCACCTCCGCCTTCACCTCGACCGGCACTCCCCTCGACCCGAACCACCCTTCTCTTGCAACTCCCGAGACCCATGGCCATGGCCACGCCCACAAGCACAAGGGCGGTCGCCTCCAGCAGTGGGCCCGTCTTCTCGGCGTCGACCCATTCATCGAGACCATCCGCGGCCGTGGCGCCGCCACCGGCAACAAGCGCAGAAAGAAGAACCCCTACTCCAACGGCTGCATGGCCAACTGCCGCGACTTTTGGTGCGATCCCGCGCCTACATTTGGTCCTCGCGAGAACGGGTCGGCTATGCTGGCTGGCGAGCCTATCAACTACACGGCGATGTACGAGAGCCCTTCTCTCATGAACATGAGCCGCGGACGACGCAGAGCGGGTGGCTACGAGTCAGTCGCCGGCGAGGAGGTGTAATAGAATTGCTTGCTCGTTTTACAAAGATTGGCCAGCGCGCGAAACTTGAGTTCAGAGGGTGTGGATAAACAAATCCATTATTCCCATGGTTTGAGGGGGGTTTATATGGTGTTGAGAGTTCATTTTCAGAAGCGAGCCGGGACGAAAAGACGGATTGATGATGATCAAAGGAGAAGAGTGAGACAAATGTTCCCCACGAAAAAGAAAGAAGACGCGGCGTAATGGCACTGCTGCATGGCTCCTTTGCGAAATGTGTATTATTGGGTACATGTAGAAGGTATGACTTTGTTTTATTGTTCTCAGCTGTTATAGGTGTTGAAGGGCTTTCGACTTGTTTTCTGGTGGTGGTAGTGGTGGTCTGTAACGAGTCTCAGGCGATGGGGATTTCTAGTAAGGCTGAGAGGAAGGGGGGAAGGATACATGCGATTACGCCTTACAGATATGGGTTGGAGATGGATGGACCACTCACTGTATATCGCGGTGCGTGGTCTATGCATCTCTCTAACCCATATCTGTAAAGCGTAATCGTGTATATATCCTTTCCCCCCTTCTTCTGGGTTTTCATTTGGGGTTGAGAGGAGAGGTAATGATGGGGCGAGCAAAGATTTTAAATATATTGGGCTTTGCCTCAGTTCAAGCTTCGATGTCATGATGCATGATGTCTTTTTTCTTGGGATGCACCTATGCTGAGCGGATATAGGTCGATGTTGTAACCGCGATGGATTAGTCAAGACACGGGGTATTTGTTAACCAAAGTACGATGTCATGGCGGCATAGGATATGTGGTCCTTGGTCCCAGGTGCCCATGCAATTTCGAGGCTTTCTAGCTGAGCTATACTGTAATGACCGAGAGCTCCAAGTCCGAGGAACTGAACAATTGGCGAACAAGAAGGCCACCATGAATGAGCGACGATGACATGAACGAAACCAAAAGCCGTGCCCGCTTGGATAACAACCGCAAGTTCATTCCTCCTTCATCTCCCAGTCTTCGTGCACCAAGGAATCAAAGTCAAAACTGATTGGCATATCGCCTACAGTCAGGACCGATTTGGTTTGAGGTTCCTGTTCAGTCAACATCATTATTGAGACGGTTGATTCAAAGAACTCACCTCGCCTATTGCGTCTAGCAGCTTATCTGCAAACTTGGCAATGTCTGTGTAGGATCTTTCCCGTGCGAGACTGCTTATCTTTCTCAAGCCGGCTGCACGAATATTTGTCTTTCGATATGACAAGATCAATAGGGCAACATAGGGATGTCCATTCTTCATTGCTCTTTCAATTCTCATGGGCGATGAGATCGGAACTTGGCAACTTGCAAGCATGATTTTCAGCGTCGACGCCTGTCTTGTCCCCTGCTCAGTGTCCTGGGCATGTATAAACGACAGACATACCGTGATGTAATCGACGTCATCCCTAAGCTCAAATCCAGACTGGAGAAGACATTCCAATACAGAAGCGTGGCTGCGCTGACAAGCTACTAGTAACGGATCGATCAAGCCGTCTGGTGCGTGTTTCTCTCGAGTGAAATCGTGATAGCCCATGAGTAGCTGAACGATTTCTACTTTGCCTCTCATCACTGCTTTCATCAAAGCAATGTACATATCATCAACAGCGAACTCAGTCACTTGAGCTTGTGCCTTGAGAATCAACTCAGCTATTTTGACGTTTCCCGTCACACAGGCCTGAGCTAGTGGAGTATATGGAGACATCGCGTCAACCTTGGTGAACCTTTTTGATCTTGGTCGGTATGCTGCTGGCTTCCCAAGGGTTGCACCTCGTTGTATCAACAGTCTGCACATCTCGTAGTTGTTGCGATCCACGGCTATCCAGAGGGGAGTGACATAGCTGTCCTTTAGTGGATGATCGACAGCGTTTACGTCGACATCTTCGTCGAGAAGCTGTGTGACACGGACTATGTCGCCAGCTTTTACTGCCTGGAAGATATCTTCGGGTGTGGACGCCATATCAGTGTCCTGACGGGGGAATTGAAAGGTCGTTCCAGCTTCTGAATGATGCTCATTCACATGCTTGTCCCGCGAATCTCTTGATTCAAATCCGAAGGCGTGTGCAAAGCATTCCTCTTGATCACAGCGAAACGGTCGTTCGTGGCGGTTGATATGGTTTGCTCTCTCCTGCTTCGTCTCAAAGCCTTCAGAAAACATTAGGCATCTGGGCTTATGGCACTTGTAGCGAGATGCCGGGCCATAGAGACTATTCAAGACACCGTACTCATTGTCGGTGAGATCACTCAAATTCTCGATTTCTTTTCGGATCCAAAATGTTCGTTGGTCAATGTTGAGAAGCGAGGTCCTTTCGCTATCATCGGATGGGAGACTGTCCAGTATTGATTCTAACGACAGCTCAGTGTCATCTTTCTGTGTCATCTTGGATGAGATGACATACTCCTGCAGAAAGGATACGGCTGAATCCCTTGCCGTCTGGAGCTCTCGCACAACCTCGGGGATCTGTGTCTGTCTCGCTGGACTAGGGCTCATGAGGGCTTTGAGATGGTCATACCAGTGTGCAACAGCGTAATCTTGCAGCGAGTAGTATGCCTGCCTGGCATGCAACGACACTACATCCGAACAATTACTTTGTGCAAACGGCATCGAACGCAGATAATCGGAGCAGAACGTCAGGAGCCGAGCGTGCTCAAGGTAGTTGTCGATGAGCTTCTTCTCGATGAGGTATCTGATGTTGTGCTATTAGCACTGGTTACTGAAAGCTCAGAAGACTGTAAATATCATACCTTTGGGCCGTATGATGCACAATTCGAACGAGACTCTCTGGATCGCCAATTTGGCCATCGAATTGATGAATGTCTACAAGGGAGCCGCAAAGCTCTTTGGCATCAACTAGTAATCGTCTACCAGGACGGACAGTCGCTGTTTTGCTGTCTATACAGAAGAACGACTGTATCTCCCGCCATCTCAGATCTCGTCTTGCTGCAATGACCAAAGAAATGACCTTCTTGGCAGCATATACCTCTGAATCGTATTCTGCCTCAAAGATGGTGGCCGCTACTCTCTGATAGCTTATTCTGTTAGCTGTGCGAAAATGAAACTCATCTAACGAGGTCCCCTACGCAGTTTCGAGCTTGCTTGGAAACATTTCAGGCTTGATGGCCTCATTCAGTCCATCGAAGCTTACTTGGCGATAGAGATATTCGAGAACGACCCTAGCGTACAGGAACATCCCTGGTCGGCGTCAGCTGAGGTCGAGCTTAGAGCACACAATAATGCGATTACCTTGAGCTCCCTTTGTGACTAAAGATACGATGTGAGCCTCGGTGGCTTTATCTAGGCGGAATTTCTTCTGAATTTTTGAAGAATACTGCAAACAGTACTTTTCGATATCGACCTTGTGCTTTGAAGATTCCAACTGAATGTCAGGGAACGGCGCCAGGATCTTGTCCAGCACGCCGTTTCGTTGCCCGGAGAACATAATTCGTAGGCTCGTCTTGCCAGCATATCGTTCGTCTTTACGAAGCGAAAGGAGCCACTCCATTGCACGCTCAGCTTGTCCTCGTTCACACTCGTCCAGACCGTCCAGAATCAAGTACGATACTCGATACTCCTCAAGTGCTCTCTTAGTGAGCTTTTCGAGGCTCTCTCTGGAGCGAATATTAACATCGGCTTGTTTCGATAAATCTTCGAAAAATCCCTCCGATGACGTTGTATCCTGGTTGATAAGCTGGGTCAAGATAGCTCTTAGGGCACTTTCATGAGTGCTCCTATCCGGGACTCCGTGCTTGAAGTAGAAATAAGACACAGATGTTCGAAGAAGCTGGTTCGAGCTGCGAACTGCCAGGAGATTGCTGATAATCAAAGAGACGAGTGTTGACTTTCCTGTATTATCTTGTTAATTCGCATTTTACATCTTCGCCTGGTAGACCTCTCACCAGCTCCGGGTATACCGTTGAGGTACAGAACCGAATGATCAAGACTGATCGTGCTGGACCAAGACACGTATTCTGGCTCCCCAAATACCCATTTGCCGCTATCAACTTCTTCTCTTCTCTGACTTGCGGCTTGCTGATCGAGGTCATAGTCCGGTGCGCCGATCTTTTCCTTGATCAGTGCCATTCTGGACCGATGATTTTCGCGCGCACTCTTATCGGCAGCTCTTGTTTGCTCTTGGTATACGTCTCTCATCTCCCGTCGCATGACGTGGATTTGGTCAAGAGATGCTGAAACCTTTACGCTATCTAGTAGCTCTCGCCGTTTCTTCAGACTTTGCATGATCGGATCGAATTGCGTCTTAAAGGTGTTCCACGTGGCATTGAAGGCATTTTTCCAGGCTTTCCTAAGTCTCAGTATCTAGGTCTTCATTAAATATGAGAAAAAAACCCAACTTGAACGGGCAAAGACTTTGATTGCCTTTTCGTGAAACTTCAAGATGTCGGAGTAATAATCTTGCAAGATGTCCCTGAGGGGTTCGTGTTGTATGAACATGTCTTGGTAGAACAATAGACCAGGGATTACATCTCCAATGTCGGAATACACGTCAAGCAGCTTGTCAAAATTGTCAAGATGGGCTTTTGCGGTCTACTCATGCAGCGCTTAGTTGGACAACGATACGGTCGGCGTTGTTCCTCAATCAGATGCTTACCCCTAGTAGGAATTTCATTGGGCCCTAGTGTGTTTATCATCGGATCAGTCAAGAATAATTTCGAGGACCTGGGACCAGAAATCATACCCAGATAAAGCAAACGAGATCGTTCGCATTTACGAAAACCTCAATCACCTGCCCAAGCTGGGTCATGGCTTCGACGAACTTTTTAAGGCGCTGCAAGTTGCGGAGCGATCCTTTCTTCCCATGATCATCCTGGATGGTCTGGATTTCGTCTTTTAGGGAAGCCAGACTGTTGGTGTGCTTTGCGAACCTTTTCGCCAAGTCCGCAGGTATCGACTGCTTGAAATCGTCAGCGGCACGCTTGTAACCATCTTTCAGTTGCGAGTTCAGGCCATCTGATGCCATCTCATTTGTTTCGAAGTGTTCTCACCAACGTATGAATGCGAGAATATTGCGAAGGAGGCAAAGGACGGGTGGAATGGCACGGAGAAGATCAGTAATACTGTGGGCAGGCGATGGGGTATGAGTTCTCGTAAGGAGTCAGATGAGGTCAGCAGTGCTTAGGCTCCCATGCATGGAGCCCGCATGCGAACCATTTAAAAGTTCTGCCTTGTGGGACGCCTACAGCGTCGGCGGTTAGTCATGGGCGAATTATTGGTGGTGATGTTGAGAAAAGATTGCTGCGCCGCAGAGCCTGCCGCTGCGCGGTGCCAGCTGAACCAGGGTCTTTCACCCATCAGGCGACAGCCTAATACCAAGCCTGATTGCATGCACAGAACTATGGTGTCGAAGCCCTTCAACAGAATACTCTTTTGAGCTCTCGACGACTCAGCCCGCGATGCAAAGATCATTTGACGACGCATTTTCCTATGGGAACGTTGGCATAGGGTCGCAGGCTGAATGTTGCTTTGGCGCGGTAAGTCTCACCCTCAAATCATGGCATGTCAGGACTCATCAGTGATAGTTGTACGATGGCGCTGCGCTTCCCATTGTCGCCGGGAAATCCTCCGAGCAAACTGGCCGCGAAGTCCCCACCAGTCACGGCGACTTTGTTAGTTTTGACATACACAAAAAAGATACCCATCATGTTCTTCGCTGGCCACACAGTACAGATGACTTTGCCGTACTCGACCTGCAGTCCGGCAATCGACTGGAAGTGATCGAGCATCTCGAAACTATCAGGTTCGAAGCGATAGTGGAGGCGACGGCATTGCGCAAGCGTAAAAGGGGCACCAAGGCCAAATCTGCGCCTGTCAGTCTTTCGATCAATGTTTATGGAATGGAGCACATTGCAAACGAGCTTGGGCGCAAGCTGTCCACTGCATCAACATATTTGCAGCACCCAAAAGCTCTGTCACAAGACAAGAAATACGACAACCCGCATTTCTTCAAAGTTTTGGAAGAGGAAGATATGAAAGCTCTAGTCGGTATAACCAACGACTCACCCTCGGCACAACGTGCCAGAATCTCAGATGAAATCTCCAATATCCTTGAGTGTCTCGCAGAAGGGCCGGATGATGGGATTCTTGACTACAACAACCTGAAAGGACTCATTGCAAAGCTTAAGCCGTAAGTCACAGCGTGCCACATCTTCTTGTTCTTATTGTCCTTGACATGCGATAATAGGCACCAAGAGCAAGGTGTTCGCTTTATCATCCAACGAGAGGCCAGACATAAGCAAGAGCAAGCTGTGTCAAGGTGAGGACCATGCCAACAATGCTGGAGCGAATGCTTAATTGTGCGATAGTCATGAGCACGATGCGTGCTTTCCCGTGTGTTGCGGTGGCATAGTTGCGGATGTGATGGGCCTGGGAAAGACTCTGACTGTGCTCACATCCATTTTACAGTCGATCTCCCACGCTGAAATATTTGAGAGATTTGACCCTACAATTGGCATCTACGAGGGAAGTACTGTTCGAACGAGGGCAACTTTGGTTGTCGTCTCCTCTGCCCGTAAGCATACTGTCCGCCCCATCAAGTTCTTATAGGTCCGCGGAAGCTGATTGAACGGTGCAGAGCTACTAGAGAGCTGGCGGTCTGAGATTGAAAGGTACGCCGACAAGTTTCATACAGTCAGTTTTGAGATCTCACAAAAAGTAGACATTTCGAGCCGAAAGCGTTCGACACGAAAGTGTTTCATGGTCCAACCCGTCTTCAAGACCTCAGCGCTTTGGCATCAGCAAATATCGTCTTAACAACCTACGCTACGATTGTCGCTGAAGATAAGGGGAACAAGGTTTTGCAACGATTGAGTTGGTTTCGTATTGTTTTAGATGAAGGTAGGTCACTGATGCCGTGCTCGCCGATTTACACTGACTGGTTGACAAAAGCTCATTGGATTCGAAATGTGGCATCAAAACAATTCAAGTCGGTCGCTAATTTGGTGGCTCGAAATCGATGGTGCCTCACCGGAACCCCAATCCAGAACAAGCTCGACGACATTGCTACTCTAGCGGCGTTCTTGCAATTGCAACCGTTCCCGACCAAGACAGCGTTCCAAAAAGGGGTTTTGGACCCTCTATCACAGGGAGGTAAAGACTCCTCCAAACCACTTCGGTCGTGGCTCCGAGCAATCTGCATCCGAAGGACAGAACAGTTTCTTGAGTTACCCGACTCAACGCAAGAAACAATTCAAGTCACTATGTCTCAAGAAGAAAAGCAACTCTATGACCAGATTCTCCGACAAAGCAAACGCGAGATTGACGACGTAGTCAGTAAGGGCAAGAGCATCAAGAAGTACAACATCCTGTTCACTGCCATACTGAGAATGCGAATGCTCTGCAACAGTGGAACGTTCCCTAAACGAGCCAATTCACAGAAACTTCTGGGAAGTGACGAGGCAAGGGAGACAGGCTGCGAACAATGCGCTGCATTTAACGACGAAGACGCAGCGTTACTCTTGACAACATTTCAATTTTGCCCCCACTGTGGCCGATCCCTCCAGATTGGTAGCCCTGGCTCGCATCTCGGGTCCAACCGAGGCAGCAATTCACCGCTTCCCGGGTATTCTCCAGCACCAAGTGAGATGTTGTCATTTTCCACTGGTCATTCCTCAAAGCTGGCCGCAGTAATAGAAAGAATTCGCGCAAGTGGATTTGCATCTAAGCAGTGAGTGTCCCGAACCACTGCTAACGCCTCTTTCCCGATCTAACCAGTTAATAAGCATTGTGTTCTCCTACTGGACATCTACCCTGGATCTCCTTTCGAGCCTGCTTGACAATGCGGCGATGAGCCATGTGCAAGTGGACGGGCGAACTAGTTACACCGAAAGATCGCGACGGCTTGAAGTATTCCGAAAACATGATGACACGCCCGTGTTATTGATGTCCATTGAATCAGGATCATTGGGGTGGGTATTGAACGATGTCAGCCGCGCATCTTGATGACATCTACTGACAGCCCCACTCAAGTCTCAATCTCACGGCCGCAAACTTCGTTCACATAGTGGAGCCTCAGTGGAATCCTTCTGTAGAGGAGCAAGCTGTTGCACGAGCCTTGCGAATGGGCCAGACGCGGCAAGTCACTGTGATTCGGTACGTCGTGCAAAGTTCAGTTGAGCAGGTAAGAACACATTTATTCAAAGAATATGTCGATGGTCCAATTAAGAAAGAAGCTGACGCAGGATAGAATATCCTGCACCTTCAGAAGAAGAAGAGCAGCGCTGCCAAATTCGTGTTTAATCTTGATGCGGCAGACGAGCTGGACGGAAAGCTTGAGGTACGGCATCTTCAGGCCAACAGAATCTTTCTTGTCACTGACGACAACATTCTCATGATAGGATTTAAAGTTCGTGCTGGATTTGAAAGCTGCTTCAATTCAGTAATTGTAGAAAGAAGACCTCCGAGATTGAGACTGATAGGCATATTGCTCCAGGATCAGCATGATGGCAGTCATATCCAAAGCGAGTTTCATGAGCTTTACAGTGTGATTTCCACACTGTTACTCAAACGCAGGCTCTAGGTCTAGGACTTACTCGGAGAACCGAGCGTCGGTCTGCCTTTCCCTCAGATACTGTTTGAATTGATCCATCTTCATGTTGACAAACCTGTCTTTCTCCTTGACGGTTGCTTGATCCAGCATTGCGTCGCCCATGCCTTCTCTATGCAGCTTTTCCCAACATATCTCGTCAATTTCAGAGCAGTAACGTGATGCAAGATTGAACCAAAACCTCCCACTAACCCAAGACTCCCGCATTCTGAGTGAAAGACGGTCATTACCGGTCTGCATGCCACTCTGGGCCCCGGCCCGTTCAACAGCCCGGATGAACTGATCTTTTCTAGGGAAAGACAGGTTGAGAAACTCTTCCATGGTCATTGTTTTCGAGCAGAACTATCGGTCGGCGAAGCAAGAGCCACCAAGGCACATCGTACGTATATTGGGCCGGCAGTGCGTTTGTGAACTCAAAGTCGAGTACAGCAGTGATTGGCAACGTCTCTGGATCAACCAACATGTTGGATGGTCGCATGTCGTCGCAATAAATGCGGAAGGGTCCGGCTTCATCAATGACAACGTAGCTTGGGATGAGCTTTTCGAAGCAGCGACGAGCCACAAATTGCCTCCATGCGGTGTCTGCATCGGCCCCCGCTATATTTATTTGGGCGTCAAGGTGTGCCTGGAGCAGTCGCGCGCGCGCTGCAAAATAGTCTCTTGCTCGATCAAACCTCTCAATGAGATCGAAGTGGTTCTCTGGGCAGGTTCCAACGGTGACTGCATCGTTCATGTCGTATGTTAGAGGCCGTCCAGTCACACCCCATTGTCCATCCGGGGGGTGTCTTGAGAAATCGAGCCAATTTTCGAGAATTGAAGGTTGGAAATTTCCAGCAGGAACTTCGCAATCTGATCATAAATGATGTCCAGCTATCGGTTTTCGATGTTTGGATCCAGGATAAACTCCTCTACTCCATCCTCGGTCAGCTTCTGTAGAGACTCACTCAAGTCGCACCCTCTCATGCGATCCATGATGATGAATGGGCCAATTTGTCGTGGGCTTTACGCGGCAAGGCCCCAGGTGTGGATCGATGGAATGGGCATGGTAGTTTTCTCTCGGAGGAACTCCATCGTCATAACCTCGTTACACGCCTTACGCAAATGCTGATGTTGAAAGAACCCGCAAAACAGCCATCGTATTCTCCGTCGCCATTCCAACCAAGCTTGCTGTCAACAAAGGCCACAAATCCGCAAGCGAATGGAACACCGTGCGCACAAAGGCCGATCGGGCATCTTCGATATTCTTTTCCGCGATAAAGTCCCAAGGGGCTGTCAGCATCTTCTTCAATAGCGAAGAAGTGAGCAGAGCAAGAGTCGTTGGTGATTGGCCAGGTGTGTCATTAGAGCCCTGAGTAATCTTGTATGTATTTAGTGGTTTAGGATATTCAGGCGGCTCTTCTTTTTAATTATTTTGACCAGCACGTGAGCAGTACACAGGTCTTTCTGTCAGTCATCAGGAAAGGCGGTGAACACAACAAGCGTGGCACCGACACGAACATCAGCGCCAACAGTGGTACGTGGCGTCTTTCGCTTTACACCACTGAAAATCCCCCAACAAAGATGCCCGTTGGTCGACATTAGCACTGACTATGGTATTGGTCTATGATTATTAGGTAAGCTCCTTTACGTATCTTGGGACGGAATGAAGGCGTACGGTAACAGTCGATATTTTCCAAGAGGGATTCTGAGCGTAGTGAAGACTATGTGGTAGAAATGCTACACAGCTTCAGCCGTCAAGTCATTGAATACAGGAGATCAGAGAACTGATCTCCATCGAGAACTCTCAACCTACCAGAGTCCGTAAGCGAAGATGCGTCATAACATTCGCTCAATTCTTGGGCAAGCTGTTCGGCCCAAGCCGTCGTTGTAATATGCAATGCTTGGCACAGTGGGCTCTCTGGGCTTTCTGGGCTCTCGACCAAACCTTAAACATCCCGAGAGAACCGAGATCCGTGCGCTGCTCCAATTTACGAAGATCCGACAATAAACATCACTTGTTGCTGAGGTCTGGACTAATTTGTCCCAGTCTTGCCATGAAGTCAACATGCTCTTTACAAACATCAGAGCTAGTTTTCAAACGAATTGTTCTGTTGGTTTGCTACGATGATCGAACAGGCTTGGCGCAGGTTCTTCGGATCTGATCTCAACGGTGCAACTACCATCTCACTTTCTCATCACTACGCAGCATTTTCCACTTTAAACACACGCAGTGTTGTAGTCTCAACCAAGAAACACAATTGTTTAAAAGCGAAGATGTCACCGAAGTTACGACCTCGCGCAAAAAAAGGCCCACGCTAGTGTTGATCATAGTGGATAAGTGTCTGAACTTGCTACGGCGGACTCAACTGACAATCAAGGGCATCATTTTATGAATAATTCTTTTGTAAATACTTATATAACTAAAGGGAATATAAGGACCTTTTTTTTCCTCTACTCTAACTTAGGCTAGTCTCCTTAACTACTATATCCTTAGATAAGGGTAATAATAGTAATTAGCTCTTAGAGCTATTTACTATATTTCTTATTAAATATCTTATTAATCTCCCTTATATTATTTTTGTTTTTTAAGTTCTTAGTGATCTTTTTAAATCTCTACTTAACATAATAGAGAGCTTAGTTCTAAAGGTCTTCTAAGAGCTTAATATATATCGTGAGGAAGTATAGAGATACTATATTATTATTCTTAGCTATAAGGATATAATTAAGTTATTATTAAATATATAGTAAACTAATCTTTTTTAGATATTTAATATCGCTAGTAGTAAGGGCTATATCGATTAAGTAGGGGGTATATATAAGATTTATTTTAGAGGGCTTTAAATTTAGGCTATAGTATAATAGAGGGTTACTTCTACTTAGCTAGGTGGCTTAAAAATCCCCTTTATATACCTTATAGGTTAGCTATAGAGGTTATACTCCCTCTATATATTTCCCCGTCAGAGTTATATGGCAGTTAATAAGGTGCGCCTCTAGGCGGCAAACTGCGAAGAAGAAAAGTTAGAAGGGAAGAAAGATAATTAAGGGCATCCCTGCGAACCTTAATTACTATTGACTTCGCCTCCTGTCGCAGAAGTGGACTCCTCTCCCTGCCCCCGCGTAATGTCTGTGACCACACTACCTTCAGTTCTTCCATCGCCTCTTGATATCGTTTCGGTTATAATTGGGGACTGTCTATCGCCTCTCTTCACGTAGCTCCCGCCGCAGCGAACTAATGTGGGTACGTCACCTGGCTCTGAGGAATAGCGATAACCAACAGGGTTTGCAATCATTTGGACTGGAAGCCTGTGACTATCTACGAAGCATCTTCGAATGATGCGACATCTAGTTAACTTAATATTGGAAATGAAGGATTGAAAAGGTTGGATGTAGGTTAACAATTGGGGAATTATTCGTCCTTCGGCTATGTTTGTTCAATACGACAGGTAGCTCGCCAAGATCCTAATTACCCTGCTAGGCACCTTTTGGCCCCGTAAGGGTCCTCTGCCGGATGAACTGAGACCGTAGGAACCGTTCACACTGATTATTCTATCCTGTTAACCCTAGGTCGATCCAGCATGCTATTTCTGGAGTCACTACAGTTGTTATTGTTATTGTTGTTGTTCTATTTTTTAATATCAGAGCTAAGCTTAGATCGCTCCCTAGGGTATATATTATATAGGGTAAGTCTATATATTTATAAATCTACTATATACTATTCCTATTCCTCAAATTAAGTATCCTCTAGTTAATTACCTCCTATATATAGTATTTCTAAGCCTAAAGGTTACCTTTTATTACTAAAAAATAGTATAAATATCCCTTATTTCTAGTTTATATTACTTAGTTAAAGCTAATATTATAAAGGTTTAAGTTTTACTATATTAAGGCTAGTATTATTATAAAATCTAAATAAGAAGTTTCTAATTAATAGTTAAAATTAAAGTTTAAGCTATTTATAAGCTCCTAAAGAAATAAAATTATTTATAACTTACTATATTTTATTAAGAAAACTAAGATTTTTTTAGAAAAATTAATAAATTAATTTTTATATTTTCTTATAATAATTTAAATTATTTAAGCTAAAAAATTAAAATAAAATAAAATATAATAAAGTTTAAAAAAGTTATTAACTAAAAGGTCTATATAAATAGATTATTTAGTAGTTTTAATTACTAAAAAAACCTATAATTTCTTTAAATTTCTTAAACTACTTTAAATTACTAATTATAGATCTCTAATAATACTTAAGGTCCTTAAATAAAGATAAACCTAGTTTATTATTAATTAATAACTAAAACTACTAAAATTTCTTTAAGTAAATTAAATAATAGAATATTATATATATAGAGGATTTCTATTTTCTATATTTATATTTTTAAGTACTTTATTACTTCTAAGTAAAATATTTATAGTATATCTTAAAATCACTATACCTTAAATAAGTAGTAATTAAGTA